CTACTACGTTGATCGAGCCAACAGCCTTGTCGAGCTGTTCAAGAGATACCCGACTCTGAAGTACGATCTTGCCTGGCCTATCTTTGGGCTAAGAGTGCAGACTATGCTTCTCAGTGAAAGTCGAGAGGTCGTCGCCGCAGGCTACCGAGTTACGAGACACGCGATTGCAGATCGGGAATCTCTAAAGACAATTCGTAGCCTGAACACCGACAGTCTCGTGATCTTATCGCTAATTAAGGAAAGCAAAGCGAGCATTGAAAGGGAACAGGCCCTCAAATTTGTCCGAGCATTTCTGGACGTCAAAGAGGGTATCAAGGAACTCTCGAAAGCAGTTATCCGTACTGTTGTTTCCATTGCGGAGCACCACGAAGATCGTCTTCGAAACATAAGCCTTTTGACAATATCCGAGATCCTTGTTCGAGATCCGGCAACCATCGTAACCGCTGGAGGAATAGCCCCACTCGCTGATGCTCTCGTGGAAGGATCGTATCATGGATCGGAAAGCTTGGCTATGAGTTTTCTACATTTGCTAGACAAGCCACAGCAAAGGGTCTATCTGCCATCCGGTCACGAGCTGGAATCAGCGTTCACGCCTTTTACCGATCCTCTTACAGTCCATGGTCATGAGGAAAAGCTGAAGTCGAGCGCAAAATTGCTTGCCGCCATTTTGAAAACATGGCCAGGCCTCTTCACAGCCGTCAGTAAAAATTTCTCAGCAATTCGGTCTTTGCTCCAATCCTTGCAGTACCCCGTGCCAATAGCCAGAGATCTGATTCTAGATCTCCTCTTCGACGTCTTACACATACAACCTCCTTCCTGGACTTCATCTTTTCTGGCAGGCCGCCGATTGACCACCTACGGTCGTGTTGCCAATTTGAAAGCAGACACCACAGAATTACCCTTCAAAGCCGACATTGAGGAAGGAAGCAGCTTCAGCCTTATGGACCACTTTACGGCTTTGCTTCTTGCTGTTTTCATGCAATGTGATCTAGTAGCGGTAATGATTAATATTTACCCTGTAATGGCTTCCGTGACTGACATTTTGTCTAGTCTCTTTCTGAGCTCATTGAGGATACCGATGATTCCATGTTAAGGAGAAAGGCTACCTTGCTTCTGAGTGAGGTCTTGAAGCTTGCGGACCATTGCTTGCCAACTGCTGTCAGCGCTAACCTACAGCCGCTACCGGGACTACTCGAAGAGTCGGTTCGAGAAGGAGAACAGGAAGGTTCGATACCTAGCGGGATGATTTACCAAATCGACAGTGTCAACCGTACTTTGCAGCGCTCCGGTCTAGCATCCAAAGCACAGCAGTCGGCCACCGCTGCTAGGCATGTGGATTTGAACAGCTCCTCCCGGCCTCCCGAGCCTGTGAAGAGCAAATTGTCCGTAGACATAGATGAGCTTCAATTTCGATCTCTCCTATTGGAAACGCAGGTCCTCACCACAGCCAACTATCTGAAATGGAAATGGGACCTCATTAATGATCTCATTGAAGGACCGCTGCTCAATTCCAAACGTCTTGAAGAGTCGATCAAGGCGAGCAAATTCATGAAGCGACTGATTGGATTCTTCCGACCATTCAAGTACAAATTCTCTGATGCGCGTAATACAAAGCCAAACCAGCGTTACGTCCGCACTGGATGTGCCCTAATGAAAACACTTCTACGGAACCAAGAAGGAATCGCTTATCTGACAGAGAGCAAACTGCTGCGGCAATTGGCTGAATGCCTTGCCCAGCTGGATAGGACAAGTGGCCTGACAGCCACACAACCGCTTTTCTCTCCCTATCGAGTCTCGGAAACATTGGCCGGAGGGTACTTTGCACTCTTGGGTGCTTTGAGTAGCGATCCCAAGGGACTTCAGATGATTGAACGTTGGCGCATGATCAACATGTTTTATCATATCATGGAGCTAGACGGACGGGAGGATCTCATACGCATTCTTCTCAGCAACATGGACTTCTCCTTGGACAGTCATCTCCGAGTCATGTTGTCCAAAGCGTTGACCTCTTGCCCGAAGAGCGTTCGCATCTATTCCACGAGACTTTTGCGGAAGTACGCAACGTCCTCGACGCAAGGAGCTGGTCAGGGTATGAGTCAGGGAGGTTGCGAATGGGCCATCTGTCTTTTGGTCACGCAGCTTTACGATCCGGAAGTGCAGGTGTGTGAAATTGCTGTACAAATCCTGGAAGAAGTCTGCAACCAAAGAGCACAGCTCGAATACGTCGTCAGGTGCCGTCCCGCTTTGGATCATCTTGGCGCCATCGGCGCTCCTTTACTTCTACGGTAAGTCGCACAACCTTCCTACCAAAGATCTCACAACTAAATTATCAGCTTTTTATCTACGTCACTGGGGTATCAGTACCTTCACGGCCTCGATTATATCACCCAAGAAATGGACGATTGGTTTCTTGTGAGTCGGTCCCACTCCGTGACTACAAACGCTGACATTTAGATAGGGCCGAAATGATGCCTATGTTACCTTGGTAGAAGCCTCACTGTCTCGTGCACTGATGGTGCTCCCAGAGCAACCTAAGTCTAGCACTGACGAGCAACTCAGAAGTCAAGAATACGGGACTGTTCCTCCGCATTTCTACAGAGAGCTTACGAGGACGATCGAAGGGTGTCAGCTCTTGCGAGACTCGGGACATTTCGATGCTTTCGTCGCGAATATCCGGGATAAATGGGGTGAGCATGAGGATTCGGAGACAATGCTCAAGCTTAAAGGCTCACTGTGGGCTGTCGGCAACGTTGGATCTATGGAACTTGGAGCATCTTTTCTAGAAGAGACGGACGTTGTGGGGTGGATTGTGAAAATTGCAACGTCTTCCGAGGTCATGACGATAAGGGGCACAGCTTTCTTTGCCTTGGGCTTGATTTCGCGCAGTCTACACGGGATGGAAATCCTCACAGAGCATGGTTGGACTGCAGCAACTGACCATCTCGGCCGTTCACTCGGATATTGCTTGCCACCGTACCTCCAGGATCTCTTCTCGATGGAGTCTCAAAAAGTATCCAGCCCACCCGATCAAAAGCCACCATCATTGAGGCGAAAGCAGATGACCGATCCCGATGAAGACCCCATCCAGGCTCGCATTCTCAGCCTCGCCGGCGACCTTGGCAACACAGTGCTTACCAAGAGAGCGGCGAGCGATCTCTTCGGCATCAAAACCAAGGCACCTGAGCTATTCACTTCGGTAGCCCTCTTTCGAAAAATCATGCTCATCCTCGAGAAGCATAATTTCCGCCTTCCCGTGCGTCGTTTTGTGATTGATTTATTTGACAAGACAATCATGAGGCGGATAGTGCTTGAAGAAGAGTACGGGAATGATCATGAGCCTTCGGATGCAAGGAGTGACTTGGTAGGCTAGCAGCACCGTTGACGCGGTCTGCGTTGGACTTGGTGGGACGGCGGCTCGTCACGGCAGGCGAGGTGGGGAAGGATGCATATCTCTTCATTCACATAGCGACGGTGTTACTTGGCGGAACTTATACCCATGTCATTTATGTTCAAGGTACGGTTGGTGATACGTGGCAAAGAATGGATAGGCAAATGAGCAAGCATAGAAATTGCATATGGGGAGCGGTCAGTTGTTGAAGGGCACGAAGGGCTGGAGGGGTACTTTGGCCAGGTTATGCACGATGGAAAGTAAGTTAGTGGGATGCCAATTGGCCATCGAAGATCTTTTTTGGCATCACACGCATATGGCTTTTGGGCGTAATTACCGTTTTTCAAAAGGGCTAAGGTACCTTAGGTAAAGTAGGTATGTTTTTTGGGGTAAGATGGCTTAGGTAGGTAAGGTAATAATGCATGTACTCTAAACATGGCCAGATGCTAGCCAGATAATTTCGTAGTCGATTTCACCAATAATGCATCAAGGTACAGTACGAATACGTGACGAATTCATGATACTACACCTCCCTCATCGCGTGTGAGCTAGGGTTTAGCTAAGCTTTAAAGGTATCTGAGCTGGACTTGATCGTCTTCGCCAGCCAATCAGAGGGGGGAAGTGGGGGCAGAGAACGGGGGAGAGAAGTTAGTTCAGCCTCGGTTTAGTGTGTCTTGGAAGGTAAGTACTCTGTATTATTAAAGTATTGAAAATGATACTAGTTACGAGTATACTTTATGGTCCGAGGGGTCATGAATTGATCCGCGTCATAGAGAGTCCCCGGTTATCGATTGTTATTTGTTGAGCGATGATTCGGTGGATTCCTCTGCCATTCGTGCACCATAATAAGGCAAAACGAACAACAACGGCTGCATATGTATGAACCGTATGAAATGATATGATCTACATGGATTCTTTGCGGCCCCACCGGATGAGGCAGCAGCACGACTTCACCATCATCCCTTCATATCTACATACCCTATCGACATATCCTCCGCCCATCCGGGCTAGAGGGGAGATAGAATAAGAGGAAGAAGGGAAAATAGAAAGAAAGAAAGAAAGAAAGGCGGCGGCCGTGATCCGAGTATGTCGTAGCAACGACTCAAACCACCCCACTCTCCATTGGTGCATAATACTTGACATCCCATTCCCTCGGTCTCTTACATTTTTCTCTTCTTCACAAAATCCTTCCTGCCTCTTCCTGCCTCTACTTGCCTCTGATAAGCTCTGCTTTGTCCTACCATCTCCGCATCCTCTTCCCATTGGACAGTAAAAATCATCCCACACCGACCCGCCAAACCGAGATCGAATCCTCACCGTGTCAGCCTTCACCCTACTGAAGTTGCATTCTATCACCTAAAGTACCATCTGCATACGCAGATACCCACTTGACTCCATATTCTTCCCTGGCCTATCCATCGTCAGTAGGCTCACCGAAGTCTGCCCAGGCCGGCCTCCACTGCCCTTCGCGCAATTCACCGGCCCATCACATGGAGGAAACTGAACGGTATAGATGAGTCTTCTCCAAAGACAAGGGGCCCCAAGTGCACCCGCCGCGAATATTCCACAGGATAGATCTACTCCCTCTACCACCACTGCTATCATCGCTTCCATGGATGCCGCCCCCAAGCAAAATACCAGCACTGTGGACCCACACCGTGACGCCCGTGCCATCGTCCGCCTGGTCCAATGCTCCCAATGCTCCCTCCCACTTCGAACGCCTCTCACGCTGCCATGCGGCAACTCACTGTGTCGGATCTGCCTGCCAGAACTTCACATCAGGACAGGAGTTACATACCCCATGACGGCCAACCGGCAAGAAGGCTTCACGTGCCCATTTAAAGAATGCGGGAGGGACCATTCGTTGGGTGATTGTAGTCAAGATGTTACTTTGGCCAAGGTCATGGATCGAGTGAGCATCGAGGTCGCCCATTCCAGGCCTTTGACAAGCCACACACCGACACTGCTGGACGAAAGGCCCCGTTGGAGGAACGTGGTCGATAGCTCAAAAGAGCCTAAGCATCCGGCATCAAGAATTCTCAACGGGGGACGCTTGGTCGCTACATATACGATGGCGGAGATCGGGGAACTCAAGTATGATTCCGAGGTTGCCTACCAGACAATGTCACCCACAGGAGACAGTTATGAAGATCTGGATTTTACCATGCTAGCCCACCTCAAGGAAGCTACAAAGGCCGAGCTCGATTGCCAAGTCTGCTATGCTCTAATGTTGGACCCTTTGACAACAACTTGCGGACACACATTCTGCCGGAAATGTGTGGCTCGTGTACTAGACCATTCTACCATGTGCCCAATATGCCGAAGGGATCTTCCAATGCCACCCGGTGTTCGAAATGTGCCCGGAAACAAGAGGCTGTCGGAGCTCCTTACTGGCCTTTGCCCGGACTTAGTCGCTGCCAGGGCTGAAGCTGCTGCACAGGAGGAGGTTCTTATGCTTGGGGAAGAGAACGTTCCACTTTTCATTTGCACGCTTGCGTACCCGTCAATGCCCACTTTCCTTCACATTTTCGAACCCCGGTATCGCCTCATGATCAGACGCGCTATCGAAAATGGGGATGGCAAATTTGGAATGCTGATGTACAATCGGAGGGCCGCTCCACAAGGCAACTTGGGCTCTGTTCAATTCCTGCAGTTTGGAACTCTGGTCCACATCAATAGCATCGAAATTATGCCAGATGGCCGAAGTCTGATTGAAACCCGAGGGATTTCCAGGTTTCGGGTCAAGGACTGGGACATGCTCGACGGTTACATTGTGGGCAACATCGAGCGTCTCGACGATATCTCACTGGCAGAAGAAGAGCAGGTGGAAGTGACTGAAACCACCAACCCCGTTCCAGCACAACACGACCTGATAAGCCAGATCGACCACATGTCGACCCAGGAGCTGCTGAAAATCGGCACTGACTTCATCACGAGGATGCGGGCTGCGTCTGCTCCTTGGCTTCACGAGGGTGTCCTTGCATCCTACGGTCCTCCACCAGATGATCCTGCCCTTTTCCCCTACTGGTTCGCCAGTATCATACCGATCGGGGAGGAAGAGAAATACAGATTAATACCTACGACAAGCGTGAGGGAGAGGTTGAAGGTTACAGCACGTTGGGTGCGGCGTATAGAAGCTCAAAGATGGTAAGAAAATCCTCGGTCTCCACTTGCCTCCCACCCTTGTCGCTCGTGTTCGACCAGGGTTTGCTCACTCTATGACCAAGTTCAACATCAAGGGATGACACCGAGTCATCGGACTCTGACGATGAAGGAGGCGTCTCTGCCTCGGACGACGATTCTGTTACGCAGACGACTGATGACGTCCAAGTATAAGTACTAACGCATATGCCTTCAAACAGGGCCTCTAGTACATCATGTACTGTCTTATGACTATTTGCAAGCATTGCATTGGCATTCATGGCATATCACTTCGCACCATATTCACAGCGATCGTGAAGATAGAAAACAACCAACCTTATGTGATCATTGGTAGCATCTTCAAAGCGCATGGCGTTTGGGAATTGGGGATAGATCGAGAGAACAGAGCGTGGGAAGGGTTGGGAAAGGCATGCCCTCAGCAATGAAACAGTGCACACGGCGTCTATCGTGAGCGGCAATGCCAGCTTTTTGCCACATAGCGAAGCAAAGCATATGTCTCCTTGCATAGCGGGGACTGGGGGTGGGAGGCGACAGCTTTGTAGATATCTCGATACACAGCTTCAAAAAGGCAGAGAGATAGATTTTACCACATCAACGACGGGCTTAGCCGTGCCATGTGAAGGAAGGCAACGTTCAATTGCGTTCGCTTCAGAATTATCCGGGCAATCATCGTTATAGCTACAAACAAATGAATTAGGAGCGCTGCCAAAAAACATGGCAGCTGTAGGGATGATGTACCGTGAATCCTGACAGTACCAGCACGTAGGATATAGCTCATTTCCTGTCAAACACTTTTGTTTGAACTGCTCTTTACATCGATTGACCTGGGGAATTTGTTTTTGGCTTGGTAACTATTCATGGACGATGAAAAATAATTTACGGAAAGACTACCCATCTCCCTACCATGTATCTTAAGTAGAGTGACTATCTTACTGCTCTACCTAGCTCACTCTCTCCATGATAGCTTTACATTGCCGTGCAAAGTCGCAATCGAATACCATGGCCCACGGGTGATGGCTCGCCCGTTTCCCTCACCCTCTAGACTCCGCAACAGAATATTCCACCTCGCCCTCCTCGACGATCCGTCTGCCCACGAGCAAACCTTGACTTCTCTCTCCTTCTCACGGACCGCCATCTCTACCACAAAACCCGCGCGATACCGCTTCTCCTGATTCAGTCGGTGCGAAATACGTCCCTCGACAGCCATCCCTCGGATTCCTCCAATCCTTACGGGTTGCCGCCTTGAAGAAGTTGAAGATTTACTACCTCCATCCTGCCGACTTCGGCTCGTTCATCGACTTAGGGTAGGAAAGGGATTTGTATTTTGAGAGGAAGGGTAGAAATCCAGCATTCTGGCAATCTGTATCAAAGACTGGATCACACGCTCCGCCTCCAGCCCCTGAGCCCTTGGCGATGCCTCTCTTCTCCCACGGACGTCCACTGCAAAATGCCAAGATCTACTCGCTGGCGCCGCGCGCTGTGCAATCTGGAAGGCTGAAAACAGTCGATTGTGATTTTTCGCGATTGAGACCTCGCGGACGAGATTGATATGATTTCCGGGCCTCAGCGGAGGGATGGCGCTGAGGCCCGTTTGGATGAGCAAGAGCAAGACCGATTCCCCATATGGGCTAAGAATTTGGATCTAGTCTTGATGAGAATATCACGGCTTTCCGCACATCCGAACTACATTTCCATGCAGATCCAGAGTGGAAGAGGAAGGATTTGAAGACGCTTTTGGAAGAGATTGAGAGCGTACTGGGTGATACTGGGGCGGTGAGCCCCGCAAAATGGTTTGGGGTGGGCGGTGAGGACGAGGAGAATGGCAGTGAAATTGCATGACCCGCATATCATGTTGGTGAGAAGCTGGGAGAGTCAGGAGCAAGGGCAAGTTCTTGCGCGAGGTGCAGCTGTGAAGCTATTGTCTACTATCACTGTGCCTACGTGAAGCTCACATACGCGTACTGACATGTCTAGTATCACGATCCCAGCCAACGAATTTCCCGCCAACGCATCTCTGTTCCCTTGTGCCCCGAGAATCCACTTTCTGCTGACCAACTCCATCCAAAATGGGGTCTATGTGGATCTAGGGAATCCTGATAGTCTCGGGAAAATGCTTTACTAAGCCCCCCATATTTTTCGAACGCAAGGAGGAATGTCCGAAATGACAGCAACTGGAATAGGCTATTTATTAATTTCCGATCTCGAAAGCTTCGCCAGAAGTTTGTCGGTTCGACCAATGCCATTATTGCCACTCGAATGCATAGCCTAGGAACGACAGACCTGTACACCTGTCGGGAAAATCCCAAGTCATCAGAACAAGACCTAGACGCTTGTCTGCACCAGGCGAAAGACCATGTTCGACCTCGAGACGATCAGGGAGGGCCAACGCGCGTTCAAAACTCGCTCGCACGTTCAAAGCAGCGTAAGCCATGTAGCAGCATATGAAATATATGCCTTGTGCTCGTGTGTGACAACATATCCTCTATGCTCTGGTGCGACAATCATTGCATGAATGTCGTAACGAGATTTCCGTTGAACACCATCTATGAACGGCAGTCATCCAATATTCCTGTACCGAAGTTCCAAAGAATTGAAGTTTCTTACAGCCTGTTCGCAGCATACGGGCCCGATGGCTCGTCCTGACGCCTTGAATCTTCCGGACCCCGCGGGTAACACTCCCTGAAAGACCACTGCGATGGCCACCATGAGCGCTAAGATGCCAATGGTATCGGCTTCGTTTCGGATTCTCAACATCGTGCCCGCGAGGCGTAGTGTCAGAGAAAGTGTGAAAGTCCAAACGGAGAGCGGTTACAAGCCGTCAGACTTCTGATCAACATAAAAAATCAACGAGGAATGATTGCGCCATTCAATGTCTTCCCTGAAAAATTTCAGTCATGAACGACAACCTCCTCAGATGTTGAACGCAGAAAGAAATCGAATGCCGATAGTAGCAGCTGCGATGGCGAAGTTCAGAGGGGTTCAACCGTTTCTCCGTCCAAGCCGGTGAGGTGCGGAGAACCGAGCGTTCTTCTGCGCGTCGACGAGAGCTCGCAGGAGAGAGACATGAGGCCGAGTCTTGGCCGAGGGGGGGCCGTTCTGACAGAGTCGAAAATCTTGTTCGCGGACCTCGGGCGACTCGAATCCACCGTCCTTTGTATGTGAGTCTCGTCTGCAAGTGATCCATGGTTCTGTTCTGGCACTTTTCAGGAGTTTCAACTCTCGCCAAGGCTTTGTGATTTCCAGCAGCAGACAGTCAAACCTACGGACGGTATGCTTATACCGGTATAAAGCAGTATTGACATGATAGACCATGGTATGCAGTTCGATAGCGGCTTTGGTATATGTACAGCGGCCACGAATCCAAGCAGCCGTTACGATGCCTAATACCTTTCTGCCCGTTCGTCATTCCGTCCCTTCTGAAATTTCCACGCCCACCCCCTATCCACACTTTCCCTATCCATCGTCTCCCTATCCTTCTTCTCCCATCCCTGCACCCTCCTTCTCGGTTCCCATTCCCTCTTCCATCCGCCCCTCCCAGGCCCGAGAATCCCATCACTGACCTCCTCTGCCGGCCTTCGAGCCACAGCCTCATTCCTTTCACCCTCAAAGCCGTCATTCTCACCCTCCCCATCCAAATTTGGGTGGTCATCACTCCTCCTTCCACTTCTGCTTCTCTTGGGAGATAAAACCTTCCCGCCCGTACCCTCATCCTCCCCCTTTTTAACTTCATGACTTTTCCCCTCCGCCACACGGCGATGGTGCGTTCTCGTAACGTATGCCGCCAGCATATGCCTCCGCTCTCTGCACCTCTTCTTCTCTTTACCATCAATCTCCTCATTACCAAGATCGAGCACTACATCAATCGCACTAATCAGTCCCCTCACTAGCTCTAAGATATCCTCTTCGTTCTGCTTCCGGGGCCCAGCGGGCTCATAAGCTATTAGACTGCGTAGATTCCTCACTCCAAGCTCGCAGCCACGAATAGCGCTCATGATAACGCGCCAATCTCGAGGCTTCTGGAGGAGCGCAACTTGAAGGTACATGCCCAGAGCCTTAGCGTCCGGATAAGATAGGGTCTCCGTCATTATCTTGACCAGCTTTTCCGCATGAAATATCGAGTTTCTATTCTTATTATCCCTGACGCAACAACTCAGAGCGATTCTGAATGTCTTCGTCTCCACACCTGCCTTGCCTGTCAAATCGCCAGATGTCAACTCGTCGACAAGCTCAACGGCGAGCTTTGCGGATCGTCGGAGACGGAGTAGACGTAGATACGTGTGATAATTTTCGCTATCGGGAATGATGCTGTTGTAGCTATCAGGTGAGGTGAGGAGGCCCCAGTAGTTCTGCGCAGCACGGGCATATTTGAGGCGAATACATGCGTCTACTACAAGGGAGAGGGTGTTGCGGCCGGGACGTACGGCTGACTGAGTTGCCCCAGCGGCTTTGGGAAGAGGAGCTAATGGATCGCTGGGCAATTCGGGGAAGTCGTCTTCCTCTCTTGATGACGACAGCACAGCCTCGAGCTCCACGTTGGCTGGTGAACGGGGTAGGAGCTCCAGGTCGTCATTAGGTCCAGAGGCTTCTCCAGCTCTTCCGAGAGCTGGATCGGCTAGCCTGGCTACTTGTCGTGGTAAACCCATTGTCTGCTCGAGTAGCGAAAGGATGTCGTCAAGATCTTGAGGCTCACCGCCAAGCGACAACAATCTTCCCATGGCACAGACGAGTTTCTCATCCAGGTATAGATCTCCGCTCATCCAGCGTTGTCTGACATCCACCCAGATCCTTCGTCCTTGGTGAACTGCTAGCGCTCTTATTTTGTTTCTTCCCGTACCTTCCCCCCTGGAAGTTGCTTTTTGCCCATTGGTCTCTTCAACTGCCTTACTCTGTATACCGTTCAATATGGTTGTGAAAGTGAGGTTGTTGGGAGCACCACTGCCACGAGTAGGTAACTCGGCCGCAATGCCTAGGAGGGCATCAACGTCGTGTGCCAGAGCACAGACTTTCAGGACCGCGTTGGTATGAATGATCGACGGCCTGACAGGGCTGTTCTCGGCGAACATGGACTGGTATATTGAGAGAGCACGGGAACAGATCTGCGGATTTGGAGGACACCAGGAGAAGCCGCGGAAGAGTATAGTGAAGGTATAGGCATCAGGCAGCTGCGCACGCTTCTTCATCTTCGGCACGCGTCAGGCTTCAAAACACGGAAATGGTGGACAAGAGAAGAGCTTACCTCATTATACAGCTTGACAGCGTTGGGAACCCTCGCTTTACTCATCTCATAGTCAATGAGATGATTCCAGCTAACGGTAGACACCACATCTCTGCTGGCCAGTCTGACAATGTCCAGTGCTTTCTCGAATTGGTCTTCTCGCAGCAATTTGACCGTGTGGTCTGCCAGCTTCACAGGATCCTTCAGCCAGCGTACTTCGAGTGCCAGTTTTGACTTTTTATCTTGTTCGAATTTGGCATCACTGATATGAGTTCGATCATGAGGAAAAGGTGCCGGCTCGCTGCCTGGCACATGTCGAGTCAAGTAAGCCTCTGTAGCGTAGCCTCGTCGAAGCCATATTGAACATCGAGTTGCTTGACTGGCCAGGAGATGAGGAGGGGATGATGTCAATATGAGCTGGGTACTGCAGAGGCGGGAGAAGACGGTGCGTATACAGGTTCGTATACAAGCGCTGCAATGGAGCATTGAAGAGGATTACCAAGACTCAGGAGGTCCTGCAGATGTGGGTTTGAGTTGGTTGGTTGGTTGGTTGGGGAGGGTAATTTTTTTCGTCTCGAATGGAGCTATTGACAGATGAGGAAAGGGCAAGCAGACGAAGGCAAAACTTCACTACTGGTGCTATGGTAAGGTAAGGTAAGGTAAGATAAGGTACCTGAACCTCGCTCAGCCTTCAGCCGTCAGCCTCTTCAGCCTCTTGAGCCTTCAAACCTTTAGCCGTTAAAGCTGCAAGTACACCGTAGTGGTTCCCGAGTAGTTGGTAAGCTTGTAGGCATATTGTCTAGGAGATGCTCTAGACGGCCTCTAACGTAGACCTCCCTTTAGTTCCCATGGTTGCGCGAGCTGCTTTGACGCGCACGGCGTACACGTACATAAGTAAGGTAACTAGGTAAGGTAAGGTAGGTAGGTAGGCTCATGGCATTGGCATGGGCATGGCATGGCTAAAGCTTCCGTCGATGTATCTCGCATTACTACCTTACTATTACTATTACTACCGCCACTACCACCACCACCACCACTACTTTATAAGGCTGAGAAGTATCATCGTTACCACTTCCTCGGGTCTTCAATTCAGAACTTGCCCAAACTACTGGATTAGCAGTGGCTTTGCCTCGATTGAACCATCGCCCTTGGAGCATAGTCACCTCTCTGTAGGGCAGAGGTGGATTACTGAACACCCAAAAGTATATAAAACACTCCAGTCCCCTTGTTTTGCTCACCGCACTGATCTCGAAAAACCAAAAAACTCCAAGAATCTGGACGGCAAATTCAGATGCATGATAGCAAGTAGCAACATTAAACATTCAATCTGCTAGTGGCCTCGCTGCTACCATTCTACATACAGTAGCATGCCGTGAAAATTGGAATCGCTTCAAGCCGCCGTCAACGAAAGCATCGCCGCCCAGTCGCGTGCATTTGGTCTGCATCCCATCTATCGGCGCTCTCCGGGAAACAACGAGCGACTCGGGAAAAGATAAGAGCCTCCACCTTCCGTGTATGTGCATGCGTGCTGAGGAAACAAGATTAATTCATCTGGCTGGTCCACCCTGATTCCATCGGCCTCGGGAGCTTGCATTCCTGCATGCTTGCCGCCGATGAGAAAAACGCACAGCAGAAATCGTACCAGCAAGGAAATGAAAGAACAGTCGTCATCTCGTGCTGCGCAACTCGACTCATGAAGAAGACAACACCATCACAGCCACCCTGCCCAATGCATGATGACTCCGTAAGCTATGACTGCAGATAGCCGCCACCCATCAGGTATTCCTCTCCTCCACTCCCACCTATATGCTTTTGACCAGACGCTTCCGATATCGTACGCGAATTATCGAGGAAAAGGATAACTTTGAGCATAGCAAGCCAATCCCCATAGGAGCATAGTGATGGAGGGTATTAATTTCTGCGCTGCATGTCAGCATCGACTTCCTGCCCTTGTTGATCAAGGTTCTTCGTACATTTGTTGCCCTTGGCCGTAGGGCGAGTGCGGGTACTGTTGGTAGACCTGGCCGTTCCCCTGAGCCTGGTACATTTGGTCAACTCCACTTGGGTAACCGCCGGATGGAACTTGACCACTGGCTGGCGCGTATCCAATCGGAGGTAGCTGAGGCCGGCCTGGTCCAGGTGGGTAGTTCTGCCCTCCTGGAGGTTGGTTGGGGTCGGCCGATGGTTCACTGCCTCCGTTTGCAGCGCGCGCTCTCTCTTCTTCAACCTTGCGCTGATTGTCTTCTTCCTTTTTACGTTGCTTCCACTCCTTTCGGATTTCTTTGAATTCTATAGTAGTGTGTTAGTAGACGCTAAGCTCATGCTAGTTAAGCGGAACCACAGAAATTCGATGAAAAAGCATAAGGCTACATGCAACGTAGTATAAGGCTTAGGTTGTGTAACTTGACTAGTAAATCCAGAACCAAATCATGGGGAATTTTCGCGATCTAACCAGAAACGCGACTTTGCGACAATCAAAACAAAAAATCACGTAGACTAACCTTCCGGTGTACGCTTTTGGCCATGCGACTGCATCGTAACATGCGCGTTCAAGTGGTTCAGTGTACCGTATGCCTTCTCGCATCCTTGCCACCCACATTTGTACATGCGTTCAATCTCTTCGTAGCGGCGACGAGGGCGCTTGTGTTGTTGAGCACCTGGAATTGGAACAAAAGAGTAGACCTGAGAAAGCGGGTGAGGATTCTGTTCCAAGGTCTAAGTCAAAAGGACGGTGTAAGAGGAATGCGCACTACTCACCTGACCCGAACGTGGTCCGGCACTGGATGGGGTTCCTTGGGCTGAAGCGCCTGTCCCAGGCGAGCTGTATGGTCCCCCAGGCATTCCATGTGGATGGCCAGCGTATTGCTGCGGCCAGTGTTGAGGGTATCCAGGCGGTGGGTGACCTTGGTAATGACTCATGTCGTGGGGCGCGTATGGCGAATACGGTGGGTAGGTAGGACTTGATGCAGCAATGTTTGGATCTACAGGTACATCCGCGTTAGACTTAATGTGTGGAGGATGATGATGGTCATTCGAGTTTCCATCTTGCAAGGACATGGACGGACTTGTTGCTTGAGCCATACTTCCTGTATTGGCGTGACTGAGCTGTTGTTGAGCGTAGTGTTGACGCGCGACGTATTCTGGATTCAACTTTGCTGGACGCGCCGAAGATGGATTCACAGAATACTCAGACGTTGATGGCTGAGAAGGTGGATAGGTCGAGGGTCGCCCTTCTTGTTGCGGTGGGTACTGCGCGGTAGATGCTGAATCTGGGGCAGTGTCTTAGGATCGGGTTCTCGGTGGCCAAAGCTCAAAGCGGACGTGTGGGCAAACCTGACTGCGAGTATTGGTCGGATGCACCTCTGTCCATCAACTGCGACTGTCGCCAACGATGCATCAGCCTGAGTGCTGAGTGAAAACAAGGTCACCGCCTGTGGAGAAGCGAATCGACTTACAGAATCGCAATAGTGGAACGCCGGTGAGCTTGTTGTGAATAGCCTCCAACTAGAAGTAGTCGGTGTCTTGGTGAGATGTCAAAAATCAAGACAGGACACTAAGACCACGCGACGACGGTGTGGTGTTGAAGTACGGAGCCAAGCCTGGAGTAAGAAAGTGTCGAGCTTTGTCGGACGGCACGAAGGTTTCCGCTCAAACCTCGTGCTCGGCTCAGATTGAACGGGGCCTCGCTGTTGCAAGGGATATGGCGTAAATGAACGACCGTGTAGCTTCAGAACTAATTTTAGAGGCCTTGGCTAGTGAGGCGGTTATTGATAGCGTTGAGGCCAAGTACGGGAGTTATCAAGAGCCCCAGATTTCACAAGCCGTAGTCTTCACACTTGTACAAAGTGAAGTGGTTTAGAGTGGTACGGGGATTCCAAGTACTGGTGTGTGAAGGAAGCGAGACTGGCGAGGAAGTGTTGACCGTGGTGAAGCAGGCAAGTGCTATGCTATGGCCGCCACGCGAGTTGTTAAGCTAAGGGGGGGTTTTATTCGTGGGGCAAATTATGAGGTTGGCGCTTTCTTGCCGACTTTGACTTTCGATTTGGTGGTACTCGTGAATCGAGGCCTTTGAGGTGAAGGCTCGAATCTGGAAGATAGTAGTACTAGGTCGGCGATCGGCAGGATCGTCACCGTGTACCGAATGGTGCAAACAGTTCGCTCAGCACTTGAGGGTAAGGCGCACTTGACTTTACCGCAGAGAGGCAGGATACTCCGGCTACTCCGCTGACTTTTCACTTTCTCACACTTTTCAGACTTGCTCAAGTGCGTGATTTCCCCGCAAATTATCAATTGACAACGACCTTGAAGGTGTTCGATACGAGTTGGATGGGAGCTGGCCGGCGGGCAGAATGGGAGAGAAATCTGTCACGCCAACGACACCTGTATTCCGATTAGAGAGGAGGTAGTGAAGCGTTATAATATGTGGCTTCTTACGAGGTTTCAACCCCAGCGTTGCAGTGTTTCGGATTGTGGATGGATAGTAGGTCGCGATCGTGCTTTCCTTTCTGATGATTGATGATGATGATTGATGATGATGATGATGATGATGTGCGCGTTTTGACTTTGTCTTGCTGAGGACGCGTTTTTGCTTTGCTCTGCCTCTTTCAAACTCACACTCAACGGGATCTTTCCCTTGTCTGTAAACAAGAGATCAAATCTGGTGATGCTCGATTTGGTATAGGCTGGACGACTGCAGTGGCAGACGCTACTGATGAGGCTATCAGGTAAGCTAGCGTGGATGGTTGGTGTTGTTAGGTTGGGATGAGAATTTTTAGTCGAAGGTCGAAATTACGGTCGCACGCTAAGGCCACTTAGGTCGATCTCAAATTTCGACGTGTGAAATTTGTCTCGGGAAGGGGAAGGGGGAAGGGAAGGGGGGGGGGTTATCCCTGCCAAGACAACCCGGCCACTCTTCGGCGTCTTACCGAGTTTTTGTTGTGAACAGGTGGCTAAGATAATGGAGGAATTGAATTGATGGGATGATGAAGGCAAAGGCAAATGCAAAGGCAAAGGGCAAAGGGTTTCAGCATGTGTGGTGGTGTGTAAATAATGAATAATGTGTGAATTGTGTGTGTAGTATCGAGGCTAAATGAGAATCCAACTACGAAGAGATGCGGCTAGAGTCTTAGGAAGTATGCAAGGCTTTATAGCGACAACCGCTCGCTCCAGGTGGGATCACGGCCAGTCATAGGGGGGTTATGCTTGGTGAATGGTGATTGACGAAATACTCGTCTGACTAATACTTTGTGGGACTGGCGCGTAATGAGGTCGAGGGATGAGTTGTCAGTGGGCGAAGGTGAAAGTGGCGTTATTCATTTGAGGGATGGCTAGCAAATGGGGTGACAGCGCATCCTCTTCCACCTTCTCTTTCAGGCCCGCAACTCCGATGCATTCTGTGCACCTTTTTCATTGGGGAAGTGTGAAAGAGGCGGTGGGCAATAACACTCATTTCATTTATGGCCAACTGCATAATGATGATTGGGACAAAGTGAAAGAATGGCAAGGCAGAGGAAAGGCTCAGGAAAGCACCGAAAGTATAAAAAACAAAAAGAAAAAAAACAGAAAAAAGAAAAGAAAGAAAAAAAACAAAAACAAAATAATGGCAAAGGCGGGGCAGGAAATCCTGTGGTCTGCTTCGGCTCTCGATGCCGTCTGTTGGAAAGCGCTTCAGAGGACAAGTTATGATTGGTCTGCTCCAGCGCATAGACTAGCAATTCTGACCGATGGTCGACAAATCATGGCCATACTCAGCGTCTGGACTGCAGGATCATTATTGTTCAAGATGCCTTTTCATGCAACCCAGGAGGACTTGTCACTGTAAGCCCACCATTCACGCGGCAGCCTCATCGGCTGGCTATCTGGTCTTCCCAGCCTACGGAACTAAGGGCTGAAGATCTTTGGCCGCAACGGCCGAATTTAGACAAGGGTAATTGCAGGCTTCTATCTGCCTTCCGAAGGAGGGGAGACCTCGTGCTCGACGCATGCTGCAATGCAACATCATCATTTGCTCTTCCACATGTGGGGCGGGGCGTCTTAATCCACGCCACCGTCAAGGGCAGAGAGATCGGGAAGCCTTGGCGAGGTCGGATCTGGAAGCCGTTGAACGTGGGGTCTTGGTCGGAAGTAACCGTATCTGAAGGAAAAAACAATATATTGGAAAGTATATCAAGGCACATGACGACGACGAGATTAGAAGCGGCAACGAGAAAGCTTTTACGGCCATAACAGAGAGATGCGAAGGATCATGGAAGAAGTGTCGTGGGATTTGGATTTTATATCGCCATTTGTAGCACGTTGTCGACTGCGGCAGCTACAATACTAGCGGAACCCAGCATTTCGGATGACCGTTTTCCTGGGGTTCTCCTAAGGCACACGACCGAGTCACCGACCATCTAAGATCCTTGGCCTCGAAGAGTAAAGCTTGAGGCTATGCATGGACGCTATATCTGAGCCTCTTCTTGAATTGTTACCGGCGTGTTCTACTTCAACGCAAAAGGTTCCTACAACATCGACAAAATAATACACACATCCTTTTCTGGGACGGCAAATAATTTCGGCCTGCTGAACATGAGAGGGTCGAGGGGTCCTTGATTGCTTTACGTAATTGATAAGGAAGCGGAGATACAAGACTGTGTGCATCCTTGCCATTTTGCGAAGCCTGGGCAATTCCCGCCGAACAGTGAGTGGTTGGATCAAAACGCCTGCATGAAACCACACAAGACTGAATTCAAACCGTCATCGACTCCTGCATATGAAGAGCAGCGAGGCTTTTCGCAATAACTTTTAGATCTAGGCTTACGTGTCTCGCGTATCATATCTGTAGCAGGAAGTTCCATTGATTATCTGATGCTACGGCCATTGGGGGCCGAGCCTTGTCTGAAAGAGGATGGAAGATGCGATGTCGAATACGAACAACGATAAATGTTATCGTCGCCAATAGGTGGAGGCTGGAGAACATTCCAAGCATTGGTCCTTTGTTAGGCAAGGAGACAGGGGCGCAGGAGCCCAGGCTGTCACAAGGTCCGTTCCTTCTGGCAGCTTGGATCGCTGATATAACGACAATGACCTGAAAGACGTTGAACCGTGGGTGGCATTCGAGTTCGCTAACACGCCGCCGAAAGGACTGGACCTACAGAGAGGGAGTGTTTGGCAAGCAACGCAGCCTAAGCCGACCTGTCGACGGGCATAAGCATCAGGGTTTTGAAAAGAAAAGCTGAGGAAAAGCTGGAGAAAAGCGACGAATGCAAAACTGTACTAGGACGGTGGATTTTGGTGCGCGTCCGCTTACCTTAGGCTATGTTGAACACCGCACTACCTTAGCTCGTCAAATCCACAGGAAGAAAAGTACAAAAGCCGGCACCTCGATCAAGGCCAAGTTGCAATAGCATAGACGATCTAAAAACTGTTCACTACACCTGATGATCAATCTACTAAACCATGTTGTCGTTTTCTAAGTTAGGGATGTCTATGATAGCACTCTATGATGTTGGCTTTTGAGTCTGCAATGACTCACATCACCACTACCGCCATAAAGCTTTGAGCTTTCATTTTGTGCAATTCTCCTCCAACTAATCCACGGACGCCTGCCTTAGCTGCTGTAGTGATGCCGGAAAATACAAATGAAATCTAATGAGGAGATGCCAGTCGAACGCCAGTCGGAGGAGGAACGGGCATGAGTCACCCTGAGGTGACGATTTGAAAGGTTGAAGTACTGTAAGTCGGTCTGAGTTGATGATAGTCGGCAAGCACCAGAAATTCGGTGAGATGTGTTATGACAAAGAAGCACCTGCCGGAGCCGTCGTCGATAAGTGAGGCAATTACCAGCGTCGACCTCCACCCATAGGTGCAGCGTTCGAGCTCGTGAAACCTCCACGTCCACCTCCGCGACCTCCACCACGACCATAACGACCACCCCCTCCGCCACCACCGTAGCGAGCCATCTCGTGGAGACGAGGATCAATTTGCTGCTTGGATTCTGTGAGAACAGCTACTAGATCGCGTGCCTAGTCGAACCTATCAGTACAATTTAGGATGCGGGGCAGGAACATTGAGCGCGCACCTGCTTGGAGTCTGTAACATATTGGTCAGCATTTGCTGCCTTTGAGATAAAGCAGGAGATACATACTCTCAGTTGTGAATAATGTAATGGCAGTACCCTTCGATCCAGCGCGACCAGTACGCCCAATACGGTGAACGTAATCTTCCGAGTTGTTGGGGTAGTCGTAGTTGAAGACATGAGTAATGTTCTTGACATCTTCAATGGGGTTAGCATTCAACAAAAGTCATGACGAAAAATGATGTCAATGTTAGTCGTGAGGCAGTATGCATCTGCAAGACTCTCTGCATAGCTCTCTGCATGGAGACAACATCTCATAACAACCTGGTCCAAAGCGTGGCAAGTATCATGGTCCTGGATAATCCTGGGGAATGCAGCTTGAACAAGTCAAGAAAAATCCAATCCGCCTCGGTACCCTGATGGTACATAACGAGACGGAATGAAAGATGTAGCAAGCCACACTGCAACGGATATCCAAGAGCTTCTGGCTGGATAGCCAAAAGAAATCATGATGAGCCTGGACCAGAAAGTAGCAGCTGCAGCGCGTACGTCTGCAGAGAGCAAAGCTTCACAGAAACAGAGCCACACGACGTCAATTGAGGAAATGGGAAAGGAAGGGGGAGGTGCAGATCGGCGGTCAATCATACCAATACCACGTGAAGCCACATCAGTGGCAACCATGATGGGGCTCTTCCCCGTCTTGAACTCATTCAGGACCCAGTCGCGCTCGTTCTGCTGCTTGTCGCCGTGGATTGCTAGACCAACGTCAGCTATGGATAGGCTGGAAGGGCGAGCTCGATCAACTTACACAGCGCTGGCCATCCGTCTTGTCGCAGAAACCTAGTTATCTCGTCTGCTACACGCTTAGTACCTGTAAAAAGCAGGATCTTGGAATCTCGGTCTTCCATGATACGCTCAAGATGCTTGGTCATCTTGTCACGTTTGTCGAATTCAGAAACAATTTCAACGATTTGGGTGATACGATGATTAGCTGAAAGATCCATGGATCCAATATTGACCTGAATGTAATCTTGGAGGTAGTCCGAGGCCAGTTGACGGACGTCCTTAGGCCATGTTGCAGACCACATGCATGTCTGACGGTCCGGACGAATCTGGCCGATGATTTTCCGGATCTGTGGCTCGAAACCCATGTCTAACATGCGGTCAGCTTCATCCAGGACAAGATAAGTGACACGACGAAGATTAGTCTTTCCAGATTCCAGCATGTCGATAAGACGACCGGGTGTAGCTATGCAGACTTCGACGCCTTTGGCGAGGTCCCGAATTTGGCCACCTTTGGGGACACCGCCATAGACACAGGTGTTGCGGATACGGGAGGATTTGCCGAATTTGGTCATCTCCTGTTGGATCTGCACAGCTAGCTCACGGGTAGGTGCCAAAACCAGTACGATGGGTCCATCACCGGGAGCGAGGAGAGGCTGAGCATTGATGTGAACTATTCCAGGCAGGCAGTATGTCAGAGTCTTCCCTGATCCAGTCTCTGCGATTCCAACCACATCACGTCCAGAGAGCGCCATAGGCCAGCCTTGAGACTGGATGGCTGTGGGTGCAGCAAAACCTTGAGCTTTTACCTCATCCATGACATATTTGGGGAAACCAGCCTCGTCGAAAGTGTGGACAGGTCGGGGTACATTGTTGCCTTGGATAGTGATCTCCTTGAGCTTGCGGAAGTCTGCGACTTCGCGTTCAGAGCGAGCAGAAACCTCGGAATCCTCCTTGTAAAAAGACTTTTCGAACTTTGGCATTGTGGATAGATCTATGCCTTTGTCAGACATAGTGCTACCGAAACAGGTAGTAATCATACCGAATGACTGAATCTTCAGATTGGCGCCTAGATTCGACATCTTGTCGCCACCTGCACCTCCAAAGCTTGCTCCTCCTCCTCCGTAGCCTCCTCCTCCGCTGTAACCGTTGGTCGATCCACCGTAACCGCCTCCGTTTGAGAAGCCGTTTGAGTAGCCGTTGCTGCCACCTCCAGAGTAACCGTTGGTTCCACTGTACCTCGAAATCATGTCAGTGAATGTCAACACCTAGCCACGATGACGCGGGACAGTAAGTGATGAGGAAAGGAACAGCAAGTGCCGAGAGAGAGTGCAACGACATGTCATGCAGGGACAACTTAGACTGCAACTTCTAGACCTTGGATAATCATACCCGCTGGAATAGGCTGTAGAATAGTCTCGACCTCCTGAAGTTCCACCAGAATTGTGGCCTGGGTAGTCATCGTACCCATTTGAGTATCCTCCCCCTCCTCCACCACCACCACGGCTACCGCCATAGCCACCACCGTACGACATGTTGTCGGTTGTTTATTGATCCAGATACGCCAGTCTCGTGTCTGTAAGAGAACAGGGATAGAAAGAGAGAATACCGAAACCAGGATAGGGGATTTGTTGATGGTGAGGGTGAGGACGAGATGTGGTGACAAGGATGAAAATTTCGTTACCGATGAAGTTGAAGCCAGGGCACGATTCAAAATTCTTTAGCGCCCTTCTGTTACCTAAGCAATCTCACTAAGGTACCTTAGGTACCTTACTTCGTGCCAAGACAAAGAATCATCTACTCGAGTACGTGTGACGAAATAAATTGTCAGTTTGGGCAGGCTGCAGGTAAGAGACTTGAGAGACGTGTTCCACGTTCACAATCCATTGTTGTTGTAAATAAAAGCTAGCTTGTTTGACTAGTCATCGAAAGCTGCATGCGCTGTCAAAGATCTATGTGCGAAGCAAAATGTCATCTCTCTACGGCTAGTCTAGGAGTTGCGTCTGGGGTCCTTTCCTTTCCCAAGATAGTAGAAAGCTCCTTGGCCATTCTCTACCTAAGAACAACCTCTGTGTCCACGGTCATGTAGCATTTACCCCCAAGCATTGCCCGACCTAAGGAAGTTCCAAACTTTCAGCATCTCTCCATACCTGTATGAGGAGGGGCGCCGGACGTCACGAACTAATACTCCACCACTCCGTAAACCACTTTCCCACAGGCACTTCCCTCCTTTACTGTCCATGTGAATACATGATCAGCCTCAGCTCCTCCAGGAAAGCCTCGATGATGCTTCGATTCTTGGAGTAAACTTTCTCTTGTGTCTATCTGGAATCTAGCGTGATGCACCTCCAGCACCATTTCTAAATTCTTCAAGTATTTGGAGTGTCTTAGGTTGAGGCCCAACTCGTTTGTCAAGGCTTTATATCGAAACTTGTTCCACAGCCACAGCTGCTTGTAGCGGCTGGATTGCCCACTATCTTGAATTGGCTTCCAATCAGCTCCATAGTGAAGTCAACCTGACTCCCCTTCAGCAGCTCCAGACTTGGCTCGTCCATAACCACCTTTGCCCCCGAAAAATCGCTCGACTCGAATATTGTATCATCTTCGGGAGATATTGCAGATGTGTTGGTAAGAGACATAAGATATTGAAAGCCGTGGCACCCGCCGGACTCGACTGTGACTCGTAAAGCAAGATTAGGATTGGAGTCCTTGGACATGATTTCTTTAAGACGCTGGAACCGTTATTAGTAATTGTAGTGTGATGGGGTAACGAATAATGAAATGAACATACGTTTGCAGCACGTGCCGTGATATCTATGAGCATTTCATTACCGTATTCATCTTTTCGAGGATTTGCAGTGACTACTGCTGCTTTGGCAGCGGTCGAAGCGGAGAACATGCGCCGCTGTAATGGATGGCCCGGGCTCGCTGGGGCGGATTGAAGGAGAGGTCTGCGACGATGTGATATGGTGGAAGCATGATGCTTTTTCGTGACAGAAGATGGTAGGAGGAAATCGGGTATGGATGCGTAAGAATGTTGACTGGCTGATGAATGTCGTTGAGTATTTGCGTTAGATGTGCTTGCTGTTCTAGCAAATGCAAGCTCGTGCTTTGCTACCCAAACAAGCGGCCGCAAGAGCGTTCGAATTTCCATTATTGTAGGTGCAGCAGCAGAAGATTATGCTGAAAAGAAATGTTTGGGTCAACGTAGGGACGTATTGATTATTGGCCACTGCGGGGCTAGCGATTCTGCCGACGCCAGCGGAGGTAACAAGCCAAACAAAAAGTACGGCAATCGAAGTGCAGAGACGGTTCAAAGAAGTCATATGTGAAACATAGACCTCGTACAACAGTATTTCGTGCTCATATTGTCAACGTTCGAGAAGGCTCTACCACTGCAATTGCCACTTCTTGCTGATAGCGCGCCTGAAGCTTCACCCCACCTCGCCCACTTGTGGCTACAGCAATGTCTGCTACTCAACCAGCAAAACTAAACGGACGAGAACATGCAGTCCAGCTTGATGCCAAAGATCCTCTGAAAAGCTTTAGGGGAGAGTTTTTAATTCCAACCAAATTCGAATCTGGTATGAGTCTCCCTCTTTTGGAGCCAGCTCAATATACTCATTGACAGCTTCAAACAGTGACGATGGCAACAGACCTTGCATTTATTTTTGCGGGAATTCGTTAGGACCTCAGCCCAAACGGACTTCCAAACGCATAGCCTCCCACCTCTCGGCGTGGGCAACGAAAGGGGTGCTCGGTCACTTCACAGAACATGAAGACTCTGACCTCCCCCCCTTCCTACATATCGACGATGCAGCTGCAAAGCTTATGGCTCCTCTTGTGGGTGCGAATACCAGCGAAGTCGCTGTCATGGAGACGCTGACGGCCAATCTACACCTTCTGATGGCAAGCTTTTACCGGCCAAATCAAGAGAAATACAAAATCATCATTGAAGGAAAAGCATTCCCGAGTGATCATGTATGAAACGTTGGGCCTGCTCTTGAAGCATTTGTCGGCTATCTCTGACATGACTTCAGTATGCTGTGGAGTCCCAAATCCGGCATCACAACTTTGACCCAAAGCAAGCCATGGTACTCATTGAACCGGAAGATCCTACAGCGGCAACTATATCCACCACCCATGTTCTTTCCGTCATCGACAAGCATGCTTCCACCACAGCTCTAATTCTTCTACCTGGCATTCAATACTATACTGGCCAGTACCTCGACATCAAGGCAATCACTGCCCACGCCCACAAACACGGTATAATCATAGGTTGGGATCTTGCTCATGCAGTGGGAAATGTAGATTTGCGGCTGACAGAGTGGGATGTTGATTTCGCAGCTTGGTGCAACTACAAATACGTCAATTCAGGTCCTGGGGCTATTGGTGGACTATTTGTAAATTCTAGACATGGACAGGTAGATGTCTCTGCAACGAAAAACGGCGCGGATGGCTTTCGAGACAGATTGTGCGGATGGTGGGGGGGAGACAAGGCAATGCGATTTGCCATGGGTAACGGTAGGTTATCCCTTTTTTTCCCCGGCTTCTCGGCCGCCAGTCTCTCAGATAGCTATGTTCTGCAAGGTCACTGATGTGCTCGTCTCTCAGATTTCATTCCGATTCCTGGCGCCGCTGGGTGGCAGGTCGGTAATCCCTCGGCTCTTGCTCTCACAGCTGTAATTGCTTCGCTTGAAATATTCGCCCTTACCGACATGGCCACCATCCGGGCTAAATCGAAGGCCATGACTGCGTACCTCGAAGACCTCTTACTACACCCGCCTTCGGCCAACAGCCACTACAAGAAACACTTGCCTTACCAAATCATTACGCCCTCGAATCAAGAAGAGCGAGGCGCTCAACTAAGCGTCCGTCTAGAGCCAGGGCTACTTGAGGGTGTCATGAGGTTTCTAGAGGATGCTGGCGTCATCGTGGACGAACGTAGGCCGGATGTGATCCGCGTTGCCCCAGCGCCGCTCTTCAACACCTTCAATGAAGTATGGGACTTTGTCACCATCTTCACATCGGCTTGTTCAGAGGCACAAGCGGGTACGGTCCATGGCAGTCAAGAAGCTGCAGCTTTAAAAGGGCGAGACCAGACGGGTTGGGCCGAAATCAAATAGACAGGGTCTCGAAGCGAATGTGCACCAAGAGTGACAGTTGCTACGGTCCAAAACGCCAAAGCAAGCAGAGATTACAAGGATGGACCAAAGTTCGTACTTTTTCGAACACTTTGCAAAGATCGTCACTCAACAAGAAGTGCCAAATCGCTTGGGGTGAAAACTCTGCACGTGCATGGAAGAGGACCTATCAACAAATGAGACTGCAACTCTTGCTGGCTTGACTGGTTTGTTGCTTGTCGACAGTCAAGAAAGAGCGAGTCATAAGCGATGAGTATTACATTCTTCGACCACAGCTTATCGCTGTATATTGGAATATATTTGTACATCATTGTCACAAACAATAGGAACTGTATACCTGCTTGATGTCGTGTCCTATGCTGAAGGCTTGGTCCCGTTGTGCTGGCCCATCCCTCAAGCTAAGAGCGCTGGAGTTGTGGGTCGAGGACGACACGAGGCAATCAGCATGACTCCACCAAGGACTCGGAAATTTTCTATTCATTTTCGGAGCAAGCTTTTCTAATTTGGGACCACTTTTCGAGTTGCAACACCCGTTCCTGGAGCTGAAGGTTCATAGTCGCCCTTCGAGGTGTCTCACTGTATGGGTTCTACCTCGAAAAACTCGCGAGAGAATGGGGGTGAAGGCTGATAATGTCCCTCCGAGCTGTTTCAACATTGGGGCTCTATTCCGGAATGGTCTTATTGTTCGGGTTTCTACCCTGGAATCTCCTTGGACGGAGGGAACGATGGAACCATACCGCTTTTGGCCAGGCTTCTTGGGACAGCAGAGCAAAAACTGGTGGTTATCTATGGTGGAGTAGTGCGATGTGAATGTGTGAGCCTTGATGGTGGACGGTTTCGCTCTAGACTGAGAGCATCGAGTATCCGTTTTGCTAGTAGGAGACTGCGAGATTCCGCAGTCGAGCTGAAAAGTATCAATCGTCAAAAGCTAAAGCAAGAGGAAGTTCCCCAGGATGGGAGGTCTCGTAGTTGCAACTGATGGTGCGATGATAGAATTGGTTTCGCGTGGATTGTGGACACAGATATGTGCGTGGTGGCGTATTGGCAGGAACACGGGTGATTTCGGTATCCGTACCCAGGACAGCTTTGAAAAGGATTGCTGTTGTTGTTGGCGGCAGATGTTCGCTGGGTGAGAGACGGGGCGAGACAGGGATGATAATTCGCAGAAGCGCGCTATCACGTGATTCTTGGCATTTGGAGAAGGGCTAGACTACACCAACCGGCGCCCCTCTTCCCTCCCAACCTTTTTCTGCCTTATTCTGCCTTACATCTTTGCTCGTCAACGTCTTCGCTATTATTGGGGGAGAGGCTTTTCTTTTCTTTGTACTCTCGCTTCGTCGACGTAGCTTAAACACTTGAAGAATGAATGGTAGAGCGTTTGTACCGCCCTGAGCAGCGGGCTTGCTTGTCGGCGTTGATCAGAAGCAGGAGGGTGAATTCGCGACATGGGGATAGAAATGTAGTTACGAGTACAGCTGTCAAGGATCAAAGTGGCATCCCTGTTGATGCAAAGCATAGATTAGCCAATATTAACATGCCGGTCTTCTCTTCTTCCTTTCTTTCTTCTATACATACAGGTACCTACAAGCTGTTCCGAGGTCCCGAGCGTCGTTCTGGAAGCGCCCTGTTTTGAAGCTAACCGGGTTTTGAATCTGACTTCTTCCAATCACAATGGCGAGCGCCCTGATTCAATGCGAGCTCTTAGAATCTGCATGAGTAGCCTCAAAATGTACTCCAGTCTCCAGAGTCCAGACACCGAATCCTGTTTGATCTCTACGCGCTGACCCTCTTGGTACGAGGTAACTGTTGACTCTAAGAAGAATTCTCCACCCTCCTCCTCCTCCTCCTCCTCCTCCTCCTCCTCCCCCCACCCCCACCCGTTCCTGTTAATGACCTTGATTCCAGCCTCTTCTTCTTGCAATAATCTTCTAGGTTTCCTTTCTCCTGGGTCCTTGCATGTCTAACATCTCGCTTGAGATTCGTCATCTTAGCTGCATTTACTTTGGTGCGGCCACTTTTCGTTGCCGAAGCGCTCGTATTTCAAATTGATCCTCCGGACTTCCTTCCATGCAAATTGCCGATCCTACGTGCCAAAGTACATAATAATCCATCTTCGACTTCATCTTGATCCATCCGTGCTTATAGCCTCCGGGTGCTTATATCCTCCGGGCGAAGGGACAGAGGTCCTCGCCGAAGACGCTTACACAACAAGTCTCGGAGGAATCAATCACTTACAGCAGCTCTCAACGAAGAGCTGAGATCGGAGATCGTGTCGGCAGCAATGTCACTGAAGCAGGTCAGACTAAACAATCCGTTGAATCGCACCTCAAATCTCACATCATATCATCAATACAGGAAATCGAGACTTGGGTCGAGGCAATTGCTTTCTACGACAACAACGACTTTGACTCAGCGCTGAGGACCTTCGGCAACATCCCGGATACAGCAAAGATACTCTTCAACTGTGGGGTCATACATGCTACGCTGGGCGAACACAAGAAAGCGGTCGGTATCTCAAGAGGCTGTGTGTATGAGTTGGCATGAGATCTGATGTGGTGATAGGTCCAATACTATCAACGGGCGATCCATCGGGACAATTACCTTGCAATTGCGTACTTCCAACAAGGCGTTTCGAATTTCCTGATTGGTGATTTCGAGGAGGCAATGGCCAACTTCAACGACGCGCTCCGCTTCTTGAGAGGAAACAGATTCATCAACTATGAGCAATTGGGCCTGAAGTTTAGACTGTACTCGTGCGAGGTACTGTTCAACAGGGGACTATGCTCTATATACATACAAGAGAAAGAGGCTGGAATGGAAGATTTGCACATTGCAGCCAAAGAAAAGGAGAAACCGGATCATGATGTTATTGACGAAGCTATTGCGGAGGAAGCTGAGGTGACTATTCAGCCAATTGATATGTTTAGCATTGGCTCATACTTGAAAGGGCTACACTGTCTTCTCCATTCCCGTCGGGGTAATATACCGGCCAAACGCTGCCAAAGTGAAAAATCTGAAGACTAAAGACTATCTGGGGAAGGCAAGATTAATAGCCGCGTCTGAGCAGGGCAACACTTTCGCTGGGTCAGCGAGTGCCGACACAAAAGCACAAGCAGCTGCAATAAACAGAAGCGTGGACGACCGTCCCCCAAACACCATATCTTACGGCGCCTCCCACATGGTGAAGCCAAACCTATACAGCAGATCAAGACAGCAATCTGAACCACCAGTCCATCGCAACATGTTTCCACCCACACCACCACCAGAAAACGACCAAATCCGTCCCGCTTTCATGGTAGCCTCAACATCTCCACCTGGCAACCCACTTTCTCAATCTCGAGCATCCACTCTCACCAATACCCCGCCCTCCAAGCCCGTCCGCCCCGAACCTCTCAACCTCGAAGCAATCACCCAAGAAAAGCCCCGCATAGGCACCACCCGCACCGCCTCCGAGCCTCGCGGCCCCTCCTCTCGCCGCCTACATATCCACCGCGAGCGCGACCACTCCGGGCGGCCTCGTTTGTTTGGGGAAACCACCCCTCACCGCCCGCATTCTAACGGCGATGAAGCGGACCTCGACGAGTATCCCGAGGAGCTCTATTCAATGGACCCGCGCACCACCCGCCAGCACAGCTCCCCTCAAAAGCCTCGCTCTTCGCACCATTACTCCTCTGATACCGGTAGCCAACGGCAGCGGAGGAGCGGCCGCTCGAAAAGCAGGCAGAGGAGAGAGCATTACAGTATAGACGAAGAGCCATCTGAAGATCCCGGCACGGCATCTACGACGTCCTCGCTCGACGAGTACGAAATCCTACATAACGCCGGTGGTGGGCTTTCTCGCCCTCGCGGCCAATCCAGCAGCAGAAGGGGCACCTCCCACTCAGGTCCATATGTCTACCGATTGAAGGACGTAAGAGTGAAAGTCCACTGCGGGGATGATGCGAGGTTTATAATGCTGACGCCTGATGTGGCGTTTGCCGCCTTCGTGGACAAAGTGAGGGAGAAGCTTCACCTGAAGGGTGGGTTCAAGTGCAAGATACAAGATGAGGGCGACTTGATCACTATGGGGGATGGAGATGATTGGGACATGGCCATGTCGAGTGTGAGGAAGGAAGCGAGGGCGGAAGGGGTGGAGATGGGGAAGATGGAGGTGTGGGTTATCGACGTTGCATAGTGGGAGAGAAGTCTAATGGACATAATAATGGTTGGCATGGCGAGGCACTTGCGGGTAGCCATGAGCATCTTCCTGTGTCTAGGCATTCTCTTCTCTCTAGCATATTCCGTCCAGCATATATACCACAACAACCAGAATACTCAAGTCATTGGGGCATCTTCCACAACCTTAGTAGTAGCAGCACGCCAACCTCCATGGTCTCGAAGCATCCCTCTGTCAAGACTCTTTCGCCGCTCCTCCTCCATCTTGGGCCTTTCCATATACGCTCCTTTTCAATGTCGACGGAAAGGGTGGTGGCAGCCTCATGCTCAGCGAATGAAAATGATTGATGGGCCCATTCCCATACCCCAGATCGAAACTCGTCTGTATACCTGCTTCGACGTAACGGACAGCCATTTCCACCGCGTCTGGTATGTCATTGGTCCGATCAGGAGATTTGGAGAGGGCGATGCCGGAGGCGATTGCTGCTATAACCGGGATTAGCCCGTCATTTGCAACCAAGACGCGGCGTAAGTTGTTGTTTGAACGCCCAAAGCCACCTGGCAAGAGCAAGTAAATATGGCAAAGGCGGGAATACTTGCCCATGTCAATATGAAAGGTAAGGGAGCGCGCACTGCTGGATTTACAAATGTTGGGGCGAGCGCGAGTGCTTGCCAATGCACCAGGGGACGGACCTCTGGGAAAGCTTACATGCAAGGGAGCAGCCCGTGCCATGCGTGTTCCTGCTGGGCAGGTAATCCGTTTGGTAGATCGCTACCTCACGCCCATCATAGAGGACGTCCACGATAACGTGCCTATCAGCCTCTTCTTTGGAAATGTGACCGTCCTTCGTGAGGGGTAAATGCCCGCCTTTCACCAAAACATAGCGGGGTCCGAGACTCTGAACGACCCTGGCGATATTGACTATGTCGTCCAATGAATTGGTTTCAGGGGCTCCCAACCCGGCATTCTGGAGCAATAATCGAGCTTCGGGGATGTTTGGTGTCAGAATAGTGGTCAGCGGCAGGATGTTAGTTCGGAGATTGTGGACGGCTTCGTTTGGAAGCAGCTGAGCTCCACTTGTTGCGACCATGACAGGGTCAACGACAGTGATAGGTTCCCCATGCTTTTTCAGAGCATTTGCCACTGCATCAACAGTCCTTGCGGAAGCTAGCATGCCAATCTTGATAACATCCACACCAATGTCAGTCATGCAGGCGTCTATTTGCTTGATGACAAAGTCGGAGGGCACAAAGTGAATGTCAGAGACACCCTGAGTATTTTGAGCCGTCAGAGCGGTGGTTGCGGTCATGGCGTAGCAGCCATGAGCAGCAATCACTTTCTGGTCAGCTTCCAGTCCGCTGAACTTGCGTTAGCTATGAAGAGCACATTGCACAGAAGCTCAATACTGACGCTCCTCCAGAGCTGTCTGAGCCAGCAATGACAAGTATTCGTCTTCTGTCCATGTCTATCAGATTCCTTTTATTGGATCACTACATAGTATCTTTGGTGCGGTGGGTTGAATGTGGTGACACGCGTCGCGTTGGGTGTACTGGTGTTCTCGGAAGGAAAGAAAGCGAAACGTACAAGTACGTCATTGGCCGAATCAACTTTCAGCAGGAACAATCCGTCGAATTGCTGCCAGAAAGTTTGGCAATTCTAGCAATGCAAGTCCCGTGAAGCGAATCACCATCAGTACAAGAGACAAAGCTTGGATTGTCATAGGACTCTCTGCTGGAACTCGTTCTACCCATCGATGGTTCAATTCTTTGTCCATGACTGGATAAAATTCGAAACAGGCCAACACCAAGGACTACCACTTTCTTTTGGACAACTTGCCTGCCCCTTTACAAGAATGAAAACCGTGAAACTTCCGGGCATTTGCGTATTCGGTGTTAAATCAATCAGTCAGAATCCCCTTCGAATTCAGAAACCTCCGGATCTGATGATACTCTTAGCATGCAGAATGACAATGGAATGGTACTTCGGGGCCCTTTATACCTCTAAATAGCATGAAGTCGAACCGTCCATCTACCTCTGAGGTAATAGTCTCTCTAATCATGGATTGCTCTTCGTCGGTCAAATTGAAATCCACATCCTGCATCGCTATGTTGAGAAGCAGCCCATCATTGCCCGGGCCAAGGTTCAGGATGAAGTCCATGATCCCATTTGAGGTGAAGCGGGTCTGAGCATTGAATTCCAGTCTGCGCAAGCATTTCATAGAAGCCATGTCGCTCCATATGGCGTCAGTAATAGCATACCCACTTGACTCCCACACTTCAAGTCTTTGCATGCTATTCGCCAAAGTGCAGAAGTGCTTGTCCAGAAAGTAGTCCGAGACTTCCTGAAGTCGCATGTCCGTGAGGTTCTCAAGCTTGCTCAATGACCCCACAAGAAAGTCCACGTCTTCGGGGTTATCACTGCTCTCGCCTTTCAGCCATAGATCTTGTAGACTCGTCTGTTGCGAAAGTGCCCGATGAAAGTCCCGGCTCTCTGACATCAAATACCCCTCGAGTGCTAACTTAGTAAGATGAATGCTGCTTTCGAGCAGCACAGGCGTTAAAAGAGCTGGTGCACTGAGTAGATTGTACAGCGAGACTATCCGCAGCCCTTTGCACTGGCAAAGCCAAGCAACTACATCGAGGAAAGTGTCGTTATGTCTCTTCTCGAGATCTTGGGTCGCGACGCCGTTCTCTGAAAGCAGCAACGAGCTCAAATTGGTACACCCTTTCAACATTGACAGCGCAGGTATCGATTCAGCTTTGATGCCGTTGAGTTTCAGCTCGGTCAGAGTCTCCCGATGACAGTTCAGCGCTAGAAAGCTTTCGGCTCCGATTTGAGAGACGCTGAAGATCTCAAAGGATTCCAAAGATTGGGGGCGTATGTCATTTAGGAAAGCAGCGAAGTGTTGGTCTGCATCATCCTTTTGCCTGAAAATGGATTAGGGTAGGAGTCCAAAGTTCTCGAAGTATGATCGTACCAGCCATAGAATTGCAGAGCCTTGAACAAGGGGCAATGCGATCGAATGAGATTCCCTGCACCCTCTAGAGCTTCTCCTCGGTACACATTTAGACGCTGTAGATTTGGCAGCTTTGGTATGCACTGAGACAGTACCCCTTTGAGGACTAAATGGATAATCAACATATCGCACTGACAGACGAAAGAGGCAGAGACATACTGGGGCCAGATAACTCTTCCAGCATTGGGGTCTGCCTTGCGATCACTTGGCACAGAATCACCGACTGTCCCATTGAGAGGAGAAGAGTACTATACCTTCCAAGAGTCGATTAGCTGTTGTCTCAGCATCGATTCGAAGACCACTCTTTTTGTTGGAGATTTGAACATTTCGATTGACTTCGAACTTCTCCAGTCCATCCTTGAAGAACATGCTGATCAAAATCAGCGCTTTGCGAAGGATGTCCCAATGTTACTCAAGCTCACCCACTGGTTTTGCCCAAGAATCTAGCATCCTGGAGCAGATACTCAAGATCCTGAAGACTCAAAGTGCGCACGTATTTTGAATAAGGAAACAAGGTCTTGCCCAAGCTGGAGAGTATAAGTGACCTCCACATACTGGCCCATTTCCCAATAAGCTGCTCTCGTCCTTTCTCGTAAGCAGCTCGGCTAGTTCTTTCTTGTGGGGCCATCTCGATTTCATCATTGTAGGCGCTGGTAACGGGGGCCGTATCGTGCATACTGCGATATGTTAGCATCGAAGTCTGATTCATGTGTGAGAGAAAGCCCTGGAATACCGGTAGATGCTAGCTAGAGCGGGAACAGCGAGCTGCTTTCCGGCACGAGCGCAATGGTAGAGTGTGTCGAAATCCCTCTGTTCCCATAGTTGGTGGCAGATCATGTGTAGAAGATCATCTGGGAGAAGCGCTGCCATGGTCGCTGGCAATTGGAAGTTCTGGCTGTAGTGGTGGAGATCAATCGGCCGAATTACAATGGGTTCAAGATTATTGTAGGAAATGGGTCGAAACGCGATGACGCGAAGCCAAGCGCGTCTCTCAAAGATCCACTTGGGAGACCTCAGACTTTTTGTAGACAAAGTAGCAACTTTCGATGAGGATGCATACACTAAGCTTCTCACTGACGCTTGAGGGTGTAGTCCGTATCCACGACGGAGTCTTGTGTCTTGCAAAGTTCAGCGAAGTGGTGTCATTGGAAGCTCGCAAGGATAAAGTGCGAGAAACTCCATCCTAACTTGTCTTATGTACGTAGAAATTCATGCTAATCAGCATTGCCAACCCAGCTCATCCTTACTGCCTTGAATTCCTCTAAGTCTGCTTACGCGTCTTTCTCCTTGGATAAGACTGTCTTCTTCGAAAAGTACAATTTCAATGCCTCACAGGCCAAAAGTCAACAGTCTACCGAAGATACCGGAGCACGCTTTACATGTCAATTGTATAACAAAGTATAAAGGTTATGTCTTCTTATTACTCTCATGTCATCTGACTTCTTCTAGGCGCTTCTCTCTGTCTTCAAAGGCCGATTAGGCGATGTACGAGACAAAGACACGGCCGTTGAACGCTGCGAGTGTAATATTCAAGATCAGCCTGATAAGACTGAGTGCCGCCTTATCGTGAAGATGCTCTGCAGACATGGTGTGTAGACGTTCTTAGTCGATGTTGAGATGCTAATGCCTGTGGCCACTGAAAGGTGTCACAAAGACCTACAAGCTTACCTACGAGTCAGTCGAGGTGATGCACGCTTTGTTCAATAAGAGCGCAGCAAAGAACACGTGGACCATCGGAGCCAGCACTTTGAGGTCGTTCGCTGAGTATTTTGGGACCAAAACCGAGCAATTGGATATCTCTTCAGAAGGCGGACGGGCAACATTCACCAGCTATACAGAGAAAATCATGAATGGGCGAGGTTCGCACTATTATTCAATCTGAAGAAGGACATAAGCTCCGATGACTGATGATGATGTAGACGTACTGAAGCAGCCTCTGCAGACATCGATTACTGTAGACAGTTTGGACTTCGAAGACTTCAAGGTAGAGGACCAGCTGCATATCGGCATAAGCGTCAAAGACTTCAAAGCCATCGTCACGCACGCCGAAACACTCAAGGCCAGCATCACGGCCTTGTACTCCTTCCCTACTCGACCGATGCAACTAAGTTACCACGAGCATGGCATGCAATGCGAATTCACCCTCATGACCATTGGAGATTATCGAGGAAATTCCGTCACGCCAGCACCTGCTGCGGTACGGCAAGGGTCAGCTGCGCCAGCTGAGAGAGCTACATCACGCCAATCTACTGTCCAGACTGCCGTGCAGCCGAAGACAACGACCATGCCGCCACCGAGCCAATCACTATCACGCAGCTTTACCAGAGAGCCGCAAAGTCAAAGAACGCAGAGACCTTCACCTCCACCTCCAAAGGCCAGCTTAGACCCCCAGAGCTTGTTCCTACCAGCTGATGAAGACGATGATCGCATATGGGGAGAGAGGATCTACGATAACGAACAGGACACGCTTGGCTGGGACGCGAGCGCCAACAATGTAAACCCTTCTGTCATCGTTCATGCCGTCAACTCACAGGAGGTTAGGATCCAATTTTGGGCGGTCGAAGAAGTGACCAGGAAAGCTCTTCGAGATTGCCACCATATCCGGCCTGGCAGGAAGACCCAAATAGCCGCATAGCGCCCACGCAAAAGATAGCCGAGGCATGTCAAACCCTCAATCTGGCTCTGTTTACCAGCTAATACCACCCCAGATCCGAGGCTTGTTTGGCGACTGAGATGTTTTGCCCGTCGGACTGTTGCTGCGAGAGTTCGCGTTCGTTATCAGACCGAGTTGCACGATTCAGGCTTGATCATCTAAGAGTAATCTGTCAGTGGACTGCCAGATCTTAGGACAGCCGAGGCTGACCTGACCTTGTAGAAGGCAACGTGGATCCTAGAGCGTTTTCGGACGGAACAAAGCGCCGTTAACCGATCCTGAGACATTGAAGAGTTTCGACTCGACGATGGGCTCTCTGATTGCCCGGAAAACGCACAAAATGAAAGCCTGATGCCATCTCTCCTATCAATGTATGTGCTGCTCATACCTACAGAGCGAGAATGGCCACAAAATAAGGGCTTCGCCACCGACAATCCTGTCGACTTGCATGCCGGTGGTACCCTCAAGAGAGAGGCTCGATACCCGAAACTTCGGTCACGCTCCGAAGTGTTTTTTTCAGTGTAGTAATTCTGAATCGATCTTGTTGGTGATGGATTCTTTCATTCAAGACTCGGGATCTTCTGCCCAGAAAAAACTTGTGGCACACCCAGCTCCAACCCCAATCACTCTCATGGAATGATCCGAATTAGTGTCTAGGATCTCGTTCCACTTTCCCTTAACATCCCCACTTTCATCTGTGCCGGAACCGCAATTGCCGTGCTCGCCCCAACCCCAGCTGATGACCTTCCCCTCCTTCGTCAACGCGATCACATGCTCACTCCCCACGGCGATCTTCTCGATATGCGGTAGGCCAGGCGGGGCGAGCTGGCCGTGGTCATTGCGGCCCCAAGATCTGATCTTCCCAGATCCTTCCAAGACGAAAATACTACCCCAGCTGGCCCCTATGTCTTTCCAATCAGGAACCAAAGCCGGTGCTTGAGATTGGATTTCCCATTTGCTCGAGCCCAGAACCGTATGTTGCCCACTTGATTGCTCTCCCACTAGGTAAGTGAAGTCTCTTCCGCAGACAGCGCGAACAACCCTAAAGCCCACATCTGCAAGTCTTCGTGGTGTGCAAACAATCTCCTCTGGATAACTCAGTTGGCCTTTGCGGCCATTTCCCCAGCCATAGACTATACCGTCATTCAAGACAACCACTGCGTGGTCAACGCCACAAGCAACATCCACTATCTTTGACCACTGATGGACTGGAGGGAAGTTTGGAAGGATTTGCAGTGCCATGGAAGCTGATATCCCACCTGTACCCTGTTCACCTTTTGAGCCTAAAGCGGCTGTATACACTTCATTCTCCGAGTTCACGAAGATTGAACCATCCCACAAGGCTGAGCATAACTTCACTTTGTTGCCCAAGACTGATACGTATGTCGTCTGGAAGATGGGCATTGAGCTCATTGACGAGCGTGAATGGAACTTTGCGTCCCGAGATGAACCCGCGGAATACACGGTCCCCTCATCATATAGCACCAAAGTATGGTTTCCTCCTGCTGCGATCGTCATTGGTGATCCTGGCAGCTCTGAATTGAGCCAACATCTTTGAGGCGTAGATTGATCGACCGTGTTTCCAATGCCCAGTTGCCCCGAGCCATTAGACCCGAAACCATACAAAACCATTCTGAGAAGTTCTTAAAGGGTTTTGGACGAGGAAGAACTGTTCAGTGATCTCAGCTTGAATCGATGGCTTGGCATTCCCGGCATTCAGCCCTGTACTCGCTTAGCGGAGTGCTAGCGTCCCACACCACGCTAAAAAATTGCGACAACTCGTTCATCTCCAGCCCCATCTATAACATTCTCAACATTCCACCATCATGGCTACGACACAGAGTGTGCAGTGCTTCGGCAAGAAGAAGACTGGTATGCCAGGATTGTCCATTTTGCCGTGGTGAAATTGCTAATACGATGCTCTCAGCAACCGCTGTCGCACATTGCAAGGTAGCCTTCACTCGCCTAGTAGCAAAGCGCGCTCAAACCAGCTGATAACCATTGCTCCAGGCTGGAAAAGGTCTCGTCAAAGTAAACGGCAAACCTCTCGCCCTCACTCAACCGGAAATCCTTCGTTTCAAGGTATTGTTTCTCTCATCTCTACCTATAATTTTACCCTCCTCTAACAACGACTACTACCACAGGTCTACGAACCGCTCCTCATTGTCGGCCTCGACAAGTTCGCCAACGTCGACATTCGCGTCCGTGTCTCAGGCGGTGGTCATACATCTCAGATTTACGCTATCCGCCAAGCCATCGCGAAGTCAATTGTGGCCTACTACCAGAAATATGTGGACGAATATGCGAAGAACCAGTTGAAGCAGGCTTTGGTGACGTACGACCGGACGCTGTTGGTGGCAGATAACAGGCGGTGTGAGCCAAAGAAGTTTGGAGGACCAGGAGCAAGAGCGAGGTACCAGAAATCCTATCGTTAGGGTGGTCATTGAGGTACGATGGACTGGATGAGGTGCTGCTTAGCTCGATAATGTGGAGACTTTCGACGAAGTTCTCAAGATAGTCCAGCTTTCAGGCCTATGAGGCTCGGGTCATAGCCGCTTCTTGTCGGCATTGACAAGCTATGTCTATAGCAGGTGATGAACAGGCATACCAAACGTCCTTCTGAAACTTGCGACTCGATATTCGGCAAGTTGGGCCCTCGTGACTGCTTCGGACGTGAGCTGCTTATTGGGGAGTGCTCTTCCACGTTCAGTCTCCTGCGTTCTAAGTCATAACAACCATATTGATCTCCTGCGAGCAGGTCCTGATCCCTGACCATCCTTGCACCGTTCTACGGGTCATCTTATAGTCTTTCCTAGACTCTAAACCGCAGTTGTGAACTCCAATTATTTTGTGCTCAACCTGGCTTTTGCTTTGCACATTCATACAGTCCGCTTCAGCTTTTGCTGTTGGTGCGTTCCTTTTGTAGCAGAACTCTTTAATCTCGGCATGATTTGGGCTGGGCATTGGTGACCAGGGTCCTTTCTCTAGTGGATCGTATAGCAGTGCGGGGCTAACACAATTACCGACTTCTCATAGCTATTCCACCGCACGTTGAAGCATGGAGATCTTTAATACTGAACAATAGCACTCAACTGCCGGCATATGTCAACGTCTTTTGGTATTCGGAGATATCTTTTGATCCAAATTGGACAAGCCACAAGGTCAATTCACACATCAAGCATTGCCCCGATTACAGGTGTCTTTACCCCAGATTCTACTTTGACGACCTATCAAAGACCTTGGCACAATGCGTGTCCCTGTCCTAAACAAATACGCAGTCTCGCACGGACGCAATGCCGGTACTTCAACACGACCCGGAATATGTCTTCACTCGCGGAGCTCACAACAAGCTCCGCTCGGACTCTCAAGTCACGAATTGCACTTAGATCATTTCAAGGATTTCTTCCTCTTGCACTAAACACCATGCATTCGAGTACTAGAACCATGGCTGAAAGCTGAGGTGGAAAGGTCTTCGAGCGGGGTGGAACACCTTTGTGGTCAAGAGAACAGTGTATATACGTCTTAAGAAGAACCACCAGAAATTGCTTCTTCATCACAGTTGCTACGAACCACAATGAGATACAGTACGCTACTGTCCTTTGCCTTCGCCCCCAGGACTCTGGCTTCCCCAGCCCCTGATCCTGTCCAAGTCCGGGCTGCTTCACTAACTTATACCCTTACCAGGTAAGCAGGCCCCGTGAGCTCGTTACAGATGTTGCCTGTTGCCGGCTTCAAATTGAGGTTTTCCTCACAGATTTAGTCTTTTATTGGCTGCCATGTTCTTCCTTGCTCAAGCCACTGGTCTCGATCTTCAATTATATCAGTACTGAAACTCCCCACAGCGGCTTCACCGGCCTCCACACTTCGGTGGCTCCACCTTCCTGCCTCGGAATCACCAACGGCACTACAGACAACGACTTGATCAACGGCGTCTGCAAGAACCTGACCCTCGTTTTCGCTCGCGGCACCACCGAAAAAGGCAACATTGGCGATATCGTCGGCCCTCCTTTTGTCCATGCTCTCGTTAGCATGCTCGGCGAAGCTCAAGTAGCCGTCCAGGGGGTCAATAATTATCCCGCCGACGTCCAGGACTTTCTCGCTGGGGGAAGCGTCACTGGAAGTCATGACATGGCCGCGTTGATTGCTCAGACAGTGACGCAGTGTCCGGGAACGAAGTTGTGTGTGTCAGGGTACAGCCAGGGAGCTCAGATTGCTCACAATGCTGCGAAATTGATCTCCCCGGCTCAGACGAGCTTCATCAACTCGGTTGTGCTTTTCGGTGACCCTGATGACGGTGAGGCGTTTGGCAAGGTGTCTGCGAGCAATATTTCTACAGATTGCCATATAGGTGACGATATCTGTCTACACGGAGATTGGATTCTGGTTCCGCACTTGGATCATTGTCTGGACGCGGACACTGAGGCCAGCTTTGTGGTTCAGAAATCAGGGCTGAAGACTGTCGGTGGAGCTGCTTCCTAAGAGCTGGGTTAGTCATGGCGAATTTTGTGCTGCGGGGAGAATTACAGAAGTCGAGTTTGAAGATCATTGGTGGAAATACTGTAGGAGAGACGATCTTCATGAGGAGTCTACGTATAGATACATGTAGCACGCTCGTACACAGATAAAGTGCACTTTCACCTTTCTCTGAGGGAATGAGTCTGGATCGGTATTTGTCTGGCTCGATGGCTCAAAAACTCACTTCACGATTCAATGCCAAGGCTGGTCGGACATCGTCTTCAAGAAGCACTTTCTGCCCCACTAGCCCGAAATGCCAAGCACGTACGAAGTGGTGGAGAGCCAGCCATGGATTATGAGCCCATCACCGCACCCATCCCTTCCTCCGACGGCTTCAAACCCTACATACCGCCAAAGATAGGTTGAGATACAAGTGAGCACCATGGGTAAATCACTGTTCCCATTCCGAGGCCACCACTTGCAGGTCTTTCATCACAGGTCTGGCCGATTTTGATATGATCATACTTGCTTACTTGAAACTTTCCATTCTTTGCATCGATCATGGACACCACTTTGACAGCAGCCGTCCTCCTCCTCGGACTTCCGCCGGGAATCCTTTGCGGTATCGACCTCCTCTCCTTCACCACCACCGCCCAGTTTCGAGGCTTAAAAGATTTGCCCCTAGGATGGCATTTTGTCTTCACTAGCGAAACAACATCTCTCTCCGTCCGGGATGGTTTCTGGTTCCATGTCCCTACTACAGTCACAGGTTCCATCCCTCTGATCATCCGCAAATGGGACACTCCCGGCGGCTCGCTACTTCCCTCAGACCCTGATAGTTTCCGTGTCCGCCTGCCTCTTCTATGGGAGAAGAACCTTTCGCCTTATCGACAGTCCGCTGACAAAGAAACGAAGGCTGAAACGGGGGACTGGGCGAGTTTGACGGAGCATGTGAGCCCGAGGTACGTACATTTCGGAGTAGGTAGTACATTGGGGCTAGAATCCAGGTTTCGGGAGCAGGAAGCTCCTTCACTCCCCTAGAAGTTTCCCGCTCCTTAGGTGCAATGCCGCGGATCGGCAGCGTAAAGTTCTTTCTGCTCTTCAAATGTGTCTCGTTTCTCGGTTTACTACCCAAGTGAACAACACTAATTCCGAAACTTGCGTAGGTTGCTAGGACATCTTACGCAAAATGAAGACTGGAAGATCACGACGGCCAGCTGTGCGAAGGAAGACAGGGATGAGATACCTGGCCTCAATGCTGAAGATTTCGGAGACGAAGAGAGGGAGTTGGGTATGTTGGGTATTGATCTCAAACGGACGTGGAGGAAGGGCGCAATAGGAAGAGAAAGGACAGAGGCCGCTCTAGATTCAAGTACTCCTCCCATTCATGCTGTCCTATGAGTCGTCAGACATATCTAGAGAGTGTTCCGCTCCTAAGACATCTCTCGCGACTCAGAATGCCTCCCGAAATAGTAATGCTAACTCCGGAATCATCAAGGCTGGGCATTAAATGATGTTGTGGAGCGATGGCAACCCCGGGACCAGAAAGACAAGGGGGAGTGGGGCAGTGTAGTGCTTGGGCAGATGGAAGCCTGCTTCCTGATGGTGCTGACGGTAGCAAATTACTCCTGCCTGGAAGAGTGGAAGCGCTGCGTCGGGCTGGTCTTGACGTGCAAACGGGCCGTAAGGGAAAAGGAGGAGTGGTTTGGAACGTTTTTGGTGCTGTTGAGGAGGCAGATGGAGAGGTGCGAGGATGTTGAGGGAGGCTTGTTTGATTTGAGGGACGAAGGAGGAGCGTATCTGAAGAGTCTTCTGAAAGGGTTTAAGATGACGCTGGGAAAGGTGTTTGAAGACGCAGAGGGAGAGCAAGTAAGGAAGGAAATGGAGGAGCTAGAGACTTTTATGAAGAGCGAGTATGGGTGGGAACTAGGGGATGAGTTTGTTAGGAGAGGCATGTTGGAATTGGAGGATGGGGAGCAGGTCGAGATGGAGATGGAGGAGATGGATGGAGAGGATGAGAGGGGCGAATATGCTCCCGTTGTAGTTGATCTAGCCGATCCCTGACAAGTGTTGGGGACTGGGTTCGACTCTAGCTTGCCCGGGCTATGAGCGTTTGAAGCAAGCTTGATTTGCACGAAGACCAGGCAAGAGCCGTTCTTCTCGTTTTTTTGACTATGACCTCGCTACACAGACCTCCGCCACCAGCAGTACATCCTGCTCATAGACGACGACCTCTCCTACCGCCCTTACGACGTGTAGAGTCCGAAGGCGTTGGCGTCACATCCTCAATCCTTCCAATCTTCATTCCTGAACGAGCAAGTGCACGAAGAGCAGACTGAGCACCTGGGCCGGGGGTTTTGGTTCCGTTGCCTGAACTTGGTCATCAGCATCCTCTGCAGCGAGTTATAGTGACGAAGGTTGTACTACCTCCAGTGGCCCTAATCTTGATATGCAACGCATTGATGCCCAATTCTTTGCACCTGGTAGCTACATCCTGCGCAGCCAACATGGCAGCGTAGGGCGAAGACTCGTCACGATCAGCTTTCACCTTCATCCCGCCTGTGACTCTGCTAATTGTTTCACGGCCACTGGAATCACCCAGAATGTAAGCCTTTGCCTCCACAGCGATGTAGTCATATTTTTGGCACGAACCTGAGATCGGTGACATCTGAACCATTTCGGAGTCAGCATTTCTCTTTCAAGACGAGTTGTTAAGTCCGAAGACAGATTTGAGGAGCAATGACACCTCCTCAGAGATGTCCTGAGACTCGGAAAAGCATATGAAAAGGAAGAGATGGCCCAGAAAGGGTGCTTACGGACGAACGTATCGTTGAAGGATGCGAAGATACGGGCGACACCGAAGACAAGTTCGCCTATGGAAAGGGCTCGTTAGCATTCTGAAAGGTTGGGTAGGTAAAGGGCTCACCTTCGCGGACTTGGGGACCAAGAGAAATGTTCTCGGTGGCAGCACGCTCTACCTTCTTCTTGGGAGGCATGTTAAAAGAATTTCGAATCGATTGATTGCGGAGGTGACAGACGTTAGTATGGAGCAAAAGCAATTCGGTGGAGTTGTAAAATTTAGCGTATTGTGCCGCGGCAGCGTTTCGCTTTTCAAGCGAGTTCAGCCCTACCGTAAGACCGAACATTTTTCGTTTTCGCTTCAGCTCGACTCATTCAATCCTCCTCAATAAGAAGCATACGCCTATCTAACGGGTTGAGGCATGCATAACGATTCTCTAGCTGATTTTATTCCATACAGGACTGTGGTTTGCTGCCTTTCTTGACATGCTGGCCTTGACCAGAATCCCTGAGGCACACTGATCACTTCCCACGATGGAGAGTATAACGGTTGGTATCATTGGGATGGGTGACATGGGGAAGATGTATGCTCGGAGGATTGGTGCTGCTGGCTGGAGGTAATTAATAGCTCTTCCCTCAGGAGCTTGTGTTACTGCGGGCCCCAGAATTGTGAGTATGCTCGCTTCCTTTTCAGTCTCCACACGATGCAATGATGACTTGAGTGCATTTGGCTCGAGTATGGCTTGTGTACAGGTCTTAGGGTCATTCTGGCTCCTAAGTCTGGAAGCAAGCTGTCACTGATGTAAAATCTCAGCTACCTAAAATATATTTGTCTGAAAATTGTATCTTGAAACCTTCGTCTACTTTGAATAGTGTTCTTGGGCTTGAGCTGACAAGTACCCTTTGCAGGTGGCACAGTCGACCACTGCTCTTGCGTTGCGCTACAAGAGCTTTCGACACTAGCTGATCCATTGTCTGCGCAGAGTAAATGCCTGCGACAAGCCCGAGAAATACGATTCCTTGAATGATGAGTTTGCTGACAGCGTAAATATTCTTCTGCGACGCTCAATGTGCGAACACAGCTGAAGCCGGCGTAGAGCAATGTGCGAATATTCCATGACGGCCGTCTCGTTTCACGGTCAAGCGATGTCATCCTGTACAGCGTTGAAGCAGAGGCCATTGGTCGTATCGTGAGCCAATATGGACCTTGTATGCTTCATGATGTGACCCTGCAATCCTCACACTAACATTGACGCAGCGACTAAGCAAGGCGCCATTGTCGGCGGCCAGACTTCTTGTAAAGAAATCGAGATAGCTGCCTTCGAAGCTTACTTGCCTGAAGACGTCCAGATCATCTCCTGCCATTCCTTGCATGGACCTAAGGTCGATCCCAAGGGTCAGCCTCTCGCATTGATTAAGCATCGCGCATCACAACAAAGTCTTGCTTTAGTCGAAAAAATCCTCTCTTGCTTAAATTCTAACGTTGTCTATCTTACGGCCCAGCAGCATGACCAAATCACAGCAGACACACAGGCTGTCACTCATGCCGCATTTCTGAGTATGGGCACCGCATGGTGCTCCAATAATCAGTTCCCTTGGGAGATCAGTCGCTATGTCGGTGGTATTGAGAACATCAAATGCAATATCATGCTTCGTATCTACTCAAACAAATGGCATGTCTACGCCGGTCTTGCGATTCTGAACGCTGAGGCCAAAAAGCAAATCCGGCAATATGCCGAATCCGTGACTGAGCTCTTCAAGTTGATGCTCGGCGGCCACCGAGAAGAGCTTGAAAAACGCATCAAGACTGCTGGTGCTGCTGTGTTCGGCTCCGGTCAGAAAGATCTACTCTTGAGAGACGAGGTTCTGGATCGTTTCTCGCTTGGGAAGGTGCCAAAGGAGAGGACACCAAACAATCATTTAAGTCTTTTAGCCATGGTCGACTGCTGGTGGAAATTAGGCATTGTACCCTACGATCACATGATCTGCTCTACACCTGTGAGTAACAGTTACCATTGTTCCATACGGCCAACCTCATTTCTAATGTTGATCCGTTCAGCCTTTCCGACTCTGGCTCGGAGTCACCGAGTACCTCTTCCGCAAGCCTCAGCTCCTCGAAGAAGTCATCAGCACCGCTATTGATGACAATACTTTTCGTTCGGACGATCTAGAGTTTACGTTTGCCGCTCGCGGATGGTCGGACTGTGTCTCCTTTGGCGATTTTGCATCTTATCAGGACCGCTTCGAACGCATCTCGAAATACTTTGAGCCTCGATTTCCGGAAGCAACTCGCATAGGTAATGAGATGACCAGTGTCATCTTAGAGAAGACTTGATGCAGTCTAATTGTACTGATGAAAAGGCTTCACGAGACGCAGTCAGTGGGTGAAGCCTATTGTTTACCCGAGCAACAAGGAGCTAAAGTGGCACTGTAACAATTAACACTATTGATGCTCACGAGCAGCCCGGGTTCTTGCCCTTACTTGATGTGAAACCATCGTGGCCATCTGACAGCTCATCTGGAATGCACTTGTTACTGTTCCGATAAACTCCGGTCACGCCACCGCCATTCACATCCACATTTACGTGGATTGAGACCCTCTTGTGGATACCCTATTTCTTATCGACGAAATTAAGCATTCTTGGCATCAGATCTCTCCCGAAAGTTAGAGTACAATTACAGTGAAAGACGGAGACCCTCGGACGAGTGAAAGCGCGGGGGAAGCCTCGTGGCAGCGAGAAGCTCCTGCTCAAGATTTAGGACACCGTACTTGCAGCATGTGGGTATCATCGCTACTCCAATCGGTGGATTTTTGTGAAGAAAAGCGGCGAAAGCAATCCCTGCTCCAGATCTCTTTGTTATATTGAATTGCTAGCAGAGACCGGATCGCGCATGAAACAAAGTCAACAAGTATAAGTGGTGAGTTTGAATGACATATGACATCAACACTTGGCACTGTTTCATTCTAAACCAAGCCCTAGCGTCCAAACAGCGGACGCGTAATTTTGTCACACTCTCACTCGCATCATGCATGCCATTATATGATTATTCTATTCGTTTATTGAACCTTGTCAAACTACGCCATGTCATCTTCGTCATTTTAGAATCAACGTGTCATCGATTCCCTCTCTTGTTTCCCATACAGACACATCTTCGCCTTCCATGCCATCTCTTTCTTTCGGCTCTACTCTATCGACAGAGATGTGTGGGCGTGCTCTCAGTTATTCAATCGCATCAGCTATCTGATACCGACGCTTAATATATTACTCCTCGTTTCGTTCCACTAGCGCGGCTTGCAGCCAATCGGCTTTGCGCAATCGCTTATTGATCCTCAGCCATTGCGAGTTTCGTTCACCGGTACTGACTAGCTCGGTCTCTTTTTACAGCAGTGATTAGTATTCATGTCTATCAACATGGCACTCTTGGCCCTTGTGCTAACCCTCGGACTTGGTAAGTCTGCTATAGAAGCGGCTCTCCTGCGTGAAGCCGTTTCTTCAATCCGTAAATTTCTGTCCTATTGCAATACTAATGGCTTGGCCATGGCCAGCAAACCCGGCATGGGCGCACGTCAATCCCGACCGCCATAACGCAGTGACCGCCCATGGCACCATCATGGGCTTTGCATTCGCTGTCCTCTTCCCACTTGGAGCAATCCTCATCCGTACGGCATCGTTCCGTGGACTAGTGGTAAGGCGCTCTTCGAAGTTCTTTCTTCCTGTTCGGGGCTGCTTTGCGAGGCGCAAGACATGCTGCAGAAGCAAACTCATCTTGCCGCCCTTTTTAATTCCCCAAACACGTCTTATTACTCCAGTCTTTGTCTACGGATGGGAATGCTGACTCGGGATTGTGACAGTGGATACATGCTGGAATCCAGGCATTCGCCTATCTACTGGCATTGGCTGGTCTTGGTTTGGGAGTTTACATCGCCATCTACCCCGAATCGCAGGTTTGTCTCCTACAACCGTGGGATCCTCAGTTACCTTCGACAGCTGACAAATCTCGTGTTCAGCTCACCGCTAGTAATGGTCATCCCATCATTGGCATCATCGTTGTCGGAGCTCTCGTCTTTCAACCAATCGGAGGCCTCATTCATCATTATATGTATAAGAAGTATCATCGACGTACCATATGGGCAATCACGCATGTCTGGTGGGGTCGGATCATCTTGACTTTGGGAATCATTAATGGTGGCTTGGGCTTGATGTTGAGTGGGAACACGGTCAAGGGTGAGATTGCCTACGGAGTTATTGCTGGTGTGATGTGGCTCATCTGGATGGCTGTTGCTGTTTGGGGACACTTGAGATCGAGGGGCACATCTGGCGAAACAGGAGAGAACGCATTGGGTCACAGTGATGCCGGGTCCAGTCCCAGTCCCGATCGGTACAAAGAAGGATACAGAGCTGCTTGATTCGCACACGCTAACATTGGCAGCTTGATGAAGTACGTAAGGTAGCTTGGAGTACAACTTATGGATTGAGCTTTCCCATTGCCAAATTGATAGTGTTAATGTTCATTATTCTTGATACAAATTTTGCGAATACCCTAGTTCGACTGTTATGAGAAGCGTAGAGTAAGGTATCTCGTAATGCTTCGTGCTTGTGCATCCTTGAACCCTTAATTCCAAAGTCCGTTCAAGGCAAATGCCAAGCCAAAATGATCGGAACTTCCTCAATCGCCTGGCAAATATATCAATCCAAAATCTTCAGCATTGTCGATCAGCTTCGACATCTGGAGGCAATATGGCGGATACTGTAACTGTTGACAAAGTGTATTTCGAGACTCTGCTTCGGCGGTATGTACATCTTTCTCCGTACCGTCAACCGTGGGCTAACCAGTGGTAGAGCAGAATTAGTCGGTCACCTCTCTGCAAGCCTGATTGGCTGCTCGAAAGAAGCTTATTCATCTCTATAGCATACATATGATAGAGATCTGACCGCTCCCGTCGGCATCCCAATAGTCAGCATACCCAAAGTCGACCATGACAAATTAGTCAGTCCTGTCCGTTACTCGACGGCGTCAATAGCTAACATGGCATTGCTTGAAGCTTCGTATGGTACAAGAATACAGTGTGTCTCTTCCCTAAAGCACCGACCAGACCAGATGCTACGACGACTCCTCAAATGTTGCGAGGCCAACCCGGACTGACTCTATGCAGCAAGTCTTAAAGATGCACTGTGCAAGGGAGGTATTGAACCGGAAACTCTCGAGGTTCGATCGACTTCATCAGAAGCAGCTTCACACTCGCTCAAGTCATATAGGTTCTCATCCGTGGCGAAACTGTCCCAATATCTCAATTTGACACCCTCATCGACGATGACGACCAACCAGCGTCTGGATGCGCGGACCCTTACGATCGCCTCCAAAGGACTCGGATTACCATGAGCCAACCCTCTGGCCACTCATGGGCTGATTCTGCGCCTGAATGGCCTCCAAAGAACTCGGCTGGCGGCTCTAGGGTTAATCTGAAAGGGAAAGGAGGCTTCTACAATCATCACAATAGCTCTGCGCTGGAGGTTGAAAGTGCTTTCACACCCGATTTCGAGAAGGATGATCCATATCTTGCCGCACCGCAGCCGGAGAGAAAGCGATTCGCCAAGATGGAACAGCGCACAATATTTGCTAAGAATCTCTCGGTCCGTGCAACGCACAAGGATATCGCCAATCTCGTACGAGGAGGGCTTATTCTGGATATATACTTACGCTCCCACGAGCGCACCGCTAGCATCTCATTCGTCGAAGGATCCGCAGCCCAGGAATTTATGAATTATGTCAAGCGCAACGACATATATGTACATGGGAAGAGGGTATGTCTCCCCCTCATATTCTAAACACGAGGAGAACTTCTGACAAATGACTTCAGCTCGCATTCTCGTGGAGCGAACGTCAATATAAGCTTCCCCCACATGTTGCAAACAAGATAGGCATTGGTGCGTTGGTTTAGACTCGAAGTTCTGCTCTTTCCACCAAACGTTGAGTCATGTGTCTTGAGTCATGTCTCGAAGTATCTACTGGGCAGGCGTGTTGCCTTCTGTAAATGGGATGCTGACTTTCGACTTTTGTTCAGGAGCCACTCGAAACGTCGTCATACGTGGCATCCACGGAAATATCACCGAGGAGCTTATTAGGGATCATTTGGACCATATCCACAACATCGTGGTTATCAGTGTTTCTTTCAAGGACGGTGACGCCTACATCTCTCTTAACTCTATCAATAACTCGCTCTTTAGTCGGACATGTATGATGTCTCGAGCGACATACAAGGGCATGAGGATTGAATGGTATCCTGATGAGTGCTCTCAACCTCTGCCGAAAATGCAGTACGCTCCGAAGACAGATAATCTAGCACAACCACAGCCTAAGAATTTCACTTCTGCCATGAACCGTTTCCAGATGCTCAACATGGATAATGATGGGACCGAGGTTGACTCGGAGGAGACAGATGAGGAGCCCACAGTGCTTTCGGATCTCTCGTCTATGAACATCAACAGCCATCGATCGCCATGGAACTCTCAAACGGTTGCCGCTTGAACCTTTGATTGCTCGGAGCATTACTAATAGGTTTCCTCAAAGTCTGCTGTCTCTGCGCATCCTTTCGCAACATGCAGTCTTAGCTTAAGGCTTTTTTCTCGCGTCCGTAATTGGGGTCACCTTCGCTCGGACATACTGTAGGCATGGAGCTCATTAGCGGTGGGCAACAGGCGGAGGTCTTGTATGGCGTCAAGCAGCCCGCAGTACACTCTACGGACTACTCAAATTCGTCAACGTTTTATATTAGCTTTTAGCATGCTTTAGCAGAGATACCCCGGCTCGCAATGTGCCTGTACCTTTCGTCGTTCGGTTTGTGAATAACTTATAGGCTCAATGAATATATACACAACACGCATTTGCGAGATGCCCGAATTGCAAGTGTATACTAACATCAAAAATATATGCAGAATTGGTCCTCATCCAGTATCGAACATATGCAAAAAGATCGGCATCTTCTCCAACTTACCTCAGGGAGCCAGCTTCCTACTCCACCTTCCCACCTCCTTGATGCCGATAAGTATAGTGCCATCCTTCACCCTCGATGTCTGCCCTGACCTTATAATTTTTCTCGGCTTCCTCTACCAACTCCATATCCACATCCACGACACTCATCCCTTCTTTATTGGTATCTTTCGTCTCGTCCCCTAAACCCCCAACGAATGGCATCGCCACTCTACTCAATCCTGCATACATTGATTTCTCATTTTCGGGCGGAGCGCCGGCATTGACTGATGATTATTTCGGAGTCAGCATTGCCAATTCAAGATAAATTGCGAGCCTTGAAACTTCTCTACAGAATCATCGCTCCCTAAACAGGTCTCAAGCCCCAGAATATGGCCCAGAAGAAAAAAAATGATCGCCGAAAATACGTACCGAAGACTACTGCACACGTATTCTCAAAAGTTCGCGCGGTAATTGTTGATTCGAGAAAAAGCTTTTCGGACATAGAATTCTTGGAAAGACCGTAGGCAGAGCAGTCGGCGTGCTGACGCAGACCTTGGAGTCAGCATTGCTTATTCGAGTTAGGTCCGGGGAGTTGGAGACAGGTCTCAGGTCGTCTTGCTCCAGAAACATGCCTTGCGACTCAATTCCAATACCATACAGGAAGGATGAGCTCCGAAACGTACGTACCGTCCAAAATGTGGGAATGATTATTGTTTTCGCGCCTTTGGCTATCAACTCTCGAAATGCTTCTGGGAAGGCTAGATCCCAGCAGATGAGAATCCCAACGGGGCCAAGGGGCGTCTGGAGCATCTCGTCTACGCAGATTTCGGAGTCAGCATTGTCTATTCGAGGTAGGAAATGGAGTTGCAAGACAGGTCTGGGGGTAGAAAGGTCTTCTTGCTCCCAAAGCATGTCTTGCGACTCAATTTCATTACCAAACAGGAAGAATCAGCTCCAAAATGTACGTACGTGGGGCGTGGGTTGAAGAGGTCAGATGTGGGCGCTCGGGATGCCTTCAATGACACAACAATGGTCAGTCCAAGAGTTTATGCGGCAGAAGGACAGTCTAGGATGTTGAATGAGAGCACAGTAATACCAGAGGTTCTTTTTCTGATACCGTCCCAATATTTCGCCCTTATCATCAATGAAATAAGCAACATTATGCAACTGATCCTCCCCAGTCTCTTCGTCCTTATGTGCTTCCACTATCGTGCCCGGCACTATGCATATTTTGAGCTCTTTTGCCAGCTCTTGATATCTGTGCAGATAATCGTTCCATTGCTTGCAAAGGGGAAAAAATTGAGGGTCTTCGGGCACCCAGTTTGTGAGATGATATTCGGGGAGAACAGCGAGGTGGGCGCCTTTTGAAGCGGCGGCTCGTATGAAGTCGGTGGCCTTGGAGAAGTTGTAGGAGGGGTTGAGGGGCTAGGGCGAGAGTATCAGTTGATGGGTGTGAAGATTGTATTCATTGGATGGATGTGGAGGACCTTAGGGTGGAGCTGGATGACAGCAATCTTGTAGCGCGGTGCCATGGTGAGGGAGTATCACATTGGCTGTTTGGAAAGGACTGAAGCTTTCTAACGTGGTGGAGTGGGCGGGGAAGTTGATGAGCTCCGTAGATTCCCTGCACAGATAGGGTTAGGGTTAGGGTTAGAGTATGTACAAGCGAAAAAGCCGTCAAACGCCAAAACCTCCCACCACCAGCACGCAACACAAAACACGCAGCAGTCACCATGGCACTCTACCAACGAGCACCTTATGAGACGGCCAACCGTCAAGACCTGGTCGAAGATGAGTCAGACCGGGAGGAAGAAGCGCTGGTGGAAGACTACAAAGAGCAGGTGCACTTCGACGACGGGATGAGCGAGCTGGACCGTACTGCTTCGTTTGGAGGTGCCGCAGCCGGAGGTGGACCACAGGATATGCAAGCTCAGCTTGCTGCAGCCGCTACGCCTCTGGAGTATGGAGCAGCGCTGGATACGAAGTTCGCGAGCTATGACAATTACTGCAATCTTTTCCACTATATCCTCAACTCAGAGGGGCCTGTGGACCTTGAAGTGCCTACAGTAAGCCTCGTTCCTCCTGCTTCTACATCTGAGCCGCGACTGATGGCGGTTGTAGTACTACTGGGCATGGGACGTAATCGACGAATTCATCTACCAATTCGAATCCTTCTGCCGCTACCGCAACCGCATCGCCCGCACTGAATCCACCAGCGAAGAAGCCCAACTCCTGCGTGATAACCCTAATACCTGGGGCTGCTACTCCGTCCTCAATGTACTCTACTCTCTCATCCAGCGCAGCCAAATCAACGAGCAACTCGATGCCATGAAGCGAAACGAAGATCCCAACCAAGTCGCTGGCGAATACGGCAATAGGCCTCTCTACCGAATGTTGGGCTATTTCTCGATCATAGGATTACTGCGGGTCCATTGCTTACTGGGAGATTTTTCGTTGGCACTGAAGACGCTGGATGACATTGAGTTGAATAAAAAAGCCATGTTCGCACGAGTGATGGCGGCGCATTTCACGACATATTACTATGTGGGGTTCAGCTACATGATGATGCGCCGCTACGCCGATGCCATTCGCATGTTCTCGCATATCCTCGTCTACGTCTCGCGGACCAAGAACTTCCAGAAGAACGCGCAGTACGACTCCGTCTCGAAGAAGAACGATCAGATGTACGGTCTCATTGCCATATGCGTGGCGTTCAATCCTACGAAGCTGGATGATACGATCCATACAGCACTGAGGGAAAAGTATGGTGACCAGCTTGTCAGATTGCAGAGAGGTGGACCTGAGGCTTTGCCGCTCTTTGAAGATTTATTCCGAAGCGCATGCCCGAAATTTATCTCCCCCACACCCCCCGACTTCGACACCCCAGACCTGAACGTCGATCCCGTAGACCACCATTGTAAAATATTCATGGAAGAAGTGAAGAACACAATGTGGTCACCCACCGTCAAGTCATACCTGAAGCTCTACACCACGATGGACCTCAAGAAATTAGCTGGCTTCCTGGATGTCGAGCCTGAAAAATTGAGGAGTTGGCTACTTGTGAATAAGCAGAGGAGCAGGCAGGTGAGATGGAGCGAAGGGGCGCTGTTGGACGGAGAAGTAGTGAATGGCAGTGATTTGGATTACGCGATGCAGGACGATCTGATTCATATCAGCGAGGCGAAGGTGGGAAGGAGGTTGGTAGATTGGTATTTGAGGAATTTGGCGAGGACGTATTAGGGTGGTGGAGGGGGTTATCAAGTCATGAATGGAAAGGAGGTGTTGCTAATATAAGCACGCTGCGAGAAAGGGAAACGCAGGATTGCTGATCAAGGCCTTGATCCACTAAGCATGCCTATGAAGGCATTACCGAGCTGGAAGCTATCCGCAAAGACATGGCCTCCCAACAGATTATTCAAACATACGAAACTATTCTATCAAATAACACAAGAGCCACTACACGAGCCACCCTCGAACAACCTCCTCACTAAAATCCCAGATGCTGGGCACTTTGCCATCTTGACACAGCCTCGCCACTGCAACCCTTTTCTTGCTACCTTCCTATCCGTATCCCCTTGCCATTCCCCTTCCACCTCCCACCTACACCACCTAACACCCCCCCGAGCCCCTCCTCACCTCCTCAATCCACCTGCACATTCCGGAGTCAGTATGACCTCTTCGAAGCAGAACCTGCAGGTTGCGAAACAAGATCGGGGAAGCCTCATGAGTATTTGCTCCCGAGACATATCTTGGGGACCCTCCCATGCCATGGAGTGGAAAGTGCACTTACGCCGTGCTAACCCTGTCCGTCATCTGCGGAAACTCGGTTTCTAGAAGAATGATGGCACTCTTCGCTTCCTCGCCATTGTCGAGCGACTGCAGAATGAAGGCTGTCATGGTGGTGTTCCAGCCGGTGGGCTTTTGGGTGCGTGTGGTGGTTTTGGTGGTGGTGGAGCGGGATGGGGAAGGCATTGCTGGTGAGGAGCAGGTCGGTGAGAGTGTTGGAGGATGGAAGGTTGGTTGGGCAATCTCGAGGTTGTTGATTGTGCTGGCCTGAGATGATTGTGCCCGGTGGATGCCCCAAATTAAAGTGGATTATGATCGTAGTCGTAAGTGAAGTGGAATGGTGGGTGTGCGCTTCGGATAGTGTTAATGATCGTGAGTGATGCTATTGAAGCAACGTAAAATGAGATGCAGGCTCTCAAGTATACTTATATTGTTGAGCTGTCACGGGAAAATTCGAAGCATGGAGAGGGCGTAAAGGCGTGTTGTCTCTTTCTTTTGCCAAGCTGTAAGCAGACCTGGAAAAGTAGGCAACGAGGCTCCAATAGATATTTTGCCTCACACTCAACGGCTTCAGTCTCCGGAAAGGGTGCCTCATTAGATTGTATAGAGAATGAAGGAGGGACAAGGCACCGATTGGGATGCGGGTCTAATGGCTTGGACAAAAAGGCAAATGGCAAATCAAGGCCTTCAGGTTGTGGCCGTTGTTTCAAGGTGACGGGATCCATCTGGGCCACACGACTCGAAATTCGAAGTGCTTCAATATTCCACTT